TCAACCTAATAGTGATGGCCTTCAACCTACTAGCGATGGCCTCCAACCTGCGATGGCCTCCAACTGGTCTCCAACCTAATAGCGATGGCGTCCAACCTAATAGCGATGGCGATGGCCTCCAACCTAGTAGCGATGGCCTCCAACCCAATAGCGATGGCCTCCAACCTAATAGCGAGGGCCTCCAACCTAATAATTAGTAGCGATGGCCTCCAACCTACTAGCGCTGGCCTCCAACCCACTAGCGCTGGCCTCTATCCTACCGGCGATGGCCTCCAAACACTACGGTCAACACTAGATGGTCTGGCTCAGGTTGGACTTCTCAGCAAGCGTCTACACGCTGCACCTCAGCTTTGTGGCTAGGTGTCTCGAGGCACACTGGCATGAAAGCCACATCGTTCTATATCCCAACCTGTCAGTGCAACTTTGCGTTGTCGCCACTAATTCTGCCCGTTCTCCGCAGTTTCTCTGTCTGCTCGTGGTAGTGGCCTCCACCCTTGCCGTTAAGTCTTAGCACATGCTAAGAGACATGTTTGTGTAGATGTGCTGTCTTTGGGGGTGTCAGCGCCCACATTGATGGGGAGACACATGCATGGTGATCATAAATGAAAGTACCAAGTCTTTGTCGAAGCTTATGTGGAGAATGTGACAAATTGTATATTATATATTATCTCTTTAAAACAAAAAAAGCACGTGGGTACTAACGTGTCGTAGGTTTTTTGGGTCTCTTGGGTCGAACTCTTCACCACCCACAGGAAGGTCATTTTTCATGGCCCACTGACCGATTCTGACCCACTGGAAAAGCCACCTGCTGACCGTTCGGCTCACTTGCACTTCGGGTCGCCATGGGTCACCCCACGACAAAAGCATCTGGTGAAATACCTAGTAGCACTATGTAGCACTCATGACATTGAAATGAGCAAATTTCAGGCTGCAAATAGGTAATATGTCTCAAAATGTAGCCCTCTTTATACCTGCATGTCGGCAGTTTTCATGCACATTGATGTATAGGTTCACCCACATATGAATGTGGTCCTACTTAACCCTAGCAGCATCAGCATGACAATCACCAGCATGCAAGAAGAACCAACCTGTATCATCGACCTTAAAAGTGGGATGGATTCCAATGAAGATCGACTTCCAAATTGCACTGAGATGTGTAAACGTTGGGCCCTCCGTGTTAACGGGACAGCCCGACACGGTTTTGCCGATCACTCTGGACAAAGGGCATCTGGCCCACATCACGTGGCAAAGGCCCATCTTCCAATGGAATAGGTAGCATCATGCAAACATCAGGTCAGGAATGCCACCCTCTCAATTTCAACTTCGATCTTATTGGATCTTCTTGGCCATGCCGCGAAAGGAAAAAGGCCCAGCCCCATCTTGGAAAATTCGTATTGATGGCACGGCTTCGCAAACAAGAAGTCCGGAGCTACTCGACGGATGCCGAATCACACAAACCGCCACAAACCTGCTGGTGCGCAGTGTTTGGAAAACAGTTCCATGGCCATGGAGGAAACGTTCTGGCATCCATCTGGTCAATGAATTCCATCAGCTACTTCACCCAATTGTTGGGCCAGAATCAAGCACTTGATGTAAGAGAAGACATGCCTGACCAGCGTGTCACCAGGCGGGTGTGCCCTACAGCCCTAAATGCCCTAGATACAAAAAGACTGCGTAAGCCACAAAAGGCAAGGATCTTTCCTGTCGGGCAACAGTGCCTGCGTCCGCACTCACCTACCTGTTTTAATCACTCGCGTCTACACTTTCTGAGTCTGATTCCGAGCGGTTGGATTGGTCCGATGTCTCCGGCTCATCATGCGGACAGAAATGCAAATGAAGCCAGAACTCTTGCCCCAGCAGCGAAAAGCCAAATGCAAACGTAGCGGTGATTGTAGGGAACCATATCAGCATGAATTGCACCTTGCAAATTGGCCTGTGCTTGGTCTGTGTAGGCCGGAGCTAGTTAAGCATGGATCATGCGGAATGCGGCAAATTTTGTCGAACTTTGTAGATCTGCCATGAAGCTGAACTATCTTGATCTACCCAAGACCCCTTGGACAGGGATCAACTGCTTTGGCAAAGATACTTGTTTTACATCTGAGCTAAAGTCCAGTGTGCTGACCCGGACGAGAACATACGAGAACTGCTTGGCCAAGGGGCGAATGCTCCAGGACAGTACTTGTGTTGATCATTCGTTTCGAAGAGCCAAATGAAATGATCTCGGGCAAGCCAATCTCCAATCTCACAGAGCGCTGGGATTCCCAAAGCAAACGTGGCCGCCATTATCCTGGCGCAATGCAGGATTCCTGACCTGATTGTGTGTACATATAGAGAGAGAGAGAGAGAGCATCGTGATAGGGTCGTTGCCTGTAGAACCAGATCATCTGTACCTCTTGGCGTGCCTTCTACTTCAAGGACGAATGGATGAAGAGGAGAAAATCCTATATATATATATATATAGTAGGCGTCTTGGTTTGTGATTCTGTTGGTGAAGGTGTCCCATCTCTAGATTGCCAGGAGGAACTGAGCCCGGTTCCTCTCACCTTCGATTCCTGCGGGTCTTCTAGGAGAAACTGCGTTCAAAAATAGGATGAACACTCTGCATTATATATCCACATTGGCCCAGCATATTGATTATACCCATCAGTCCCATGCCAAGATTCCAAACATTAGCAGCAAATACACCACGTTCCTAAGCTGACTCATAACATGCCAAAACTTTGTCAGTTCTACAAGTCATACAGTTGAACATGATGCATCTGACTCATAACGTGCAGCTTCGGCGCCGGACCACTTCTTTCAGCCACGAATGACATGATCGGGACAAGCCCCGCAACAACGAAGCAAATGATGACGGAAATGTGCCCTTCCAAGGTGGCACGAGGCATGTCTTCGAAGCATCCCCGGTCGTCATGCAAAATGAACACCGCGATGCAATGGGCCCCACACAGGAGCCACAGCAAGGTGGCAACCTCGCTTTTAGGGGTAGGGTTTAACATGATTCCATCAAGTCGGCTCTAAATGTACATCAAGGCAACACACACCCTTATGTGTGCATATATATGTATATATACATACAACTACATACATACACACATGCTACATATATATATATATATTTATATATATAGTTACATAGAAAGATAAAACCACATGTAACATATGTAGTACCATATGGGCCGAACGGGCCGATCTTTTCTGGGTGAAAAACCATACAAAAGTAGAAAGCCAAGTAAGCTACTCCAGTCTTCACCACGAGGTCAGTGGTACCCAAACCACGTATATTTGCACCGGATTCAAACGCCTTGCGGAGGCTGTGGTCATAAGCACCCGCCTTCATCAAAATATGAATTGCAAGCTCAACATCTCTCTCAAATCCAGAAATGGATTGTCGGATTCGCGCTTCATCAACCGAGTTTGTGCAGGTGGCATCAACCAGCGAGACAAAATTCAAGTTGGTGGCCTGCCGCGCCAGTTCCCGATCCTCCAAGAGTTCTTCATTCAGCTGTGCCACCCGCAAAAGGTTAAAAAGCCACGTTCCAATCATCACAAAGTAGTGGTCAAACTTTGAAGGCGTGTAGTAGGGGCCCGGCATCTTCACCCATGGAAGGATGATCGAGGAGAGCAACCAAAGGACGGTCATGTGGAAAAATCGGAGCAAGTTCAAATTCTGATGTACGAGGCGCTTGCAGCGCCGCTTGCACACTTGGAGAGCCACTGACACAGCAAAGGTAAGAACCGTCAGCAAAAAGCAACACACGAATGTTGCGAGGCAAACTTTCCACAACACTTCTTGATTGATTGGGATCAGCACCAAAATAAGACCTCAAAGCTGGTTGCTCAATGCTGAACAGGCAAACAACCAACAGTTGATCAGGTATTTGTGGCGCGGGGGGGGGGACAATTCTTGGCAAACATGGAGCACATCATCTTCCTACATCTACGTTCTTGTAAACTAGCTTCGCCATCGGACGCGACCAAGGCCCATGATAAGGGACCAACTCTCTGAACATCACACAATCATCTGGGGCCACATTCCGTGGGGGCGACGTTGGTCAGTCATTTTTCCACTCTCCCCAGTCATCCGTGTCAAGTTGGTGAGGCACCCAAAGCTGCTCCTAGAATCAAGGGAAGAAGTATGCTCCAAACGACCAGCAGGCACTGCGCAGAACTTTTCCTTGGTGTCAACTTCACTGGCTGCACCGAGAAAAACAGCAACGCACTGGCACAATTTAAATTATCATCAGGTGTTCAACTTCTCACTAAATGGATTTGTGGATGGTCGTCATGATGGCGGTATCGGCGGTATATATGTTATGGCAATACTGGCATTGCATCTCATAACCAGAGCAGAATGCATTGAATCCCGTTTATAGTCTGATGAGATGCCCCGCCTATGACACTTGTCTCATCGTCAATCAGCCATTGCCAAGCTGCGGCCGGGTTGGCATGATGCACGTCTTTTCGTAGCGAGTTCCCAAATACGCTTCGTATACACACCACAATCTCGTGTATATGCTAACCTGCTCAGGGCCAAAATCTTCAATCATCAATTACGGGCAAAATGAGGGACATCTATATAACATTTGGCACCTGGCAATCCAGACAAATTGTAAAAAGGGAAGCCTGAAAAGTCTTAACAACAGTCGTGGCAGCCAAGCGGCAGTGCTGTTTGGGATGATCAATACATGGGAAGCGCTTTGCATTGCCCGAGCAAAGGGGCTTTGCTCGGGGGGGTACGTTCAGCCAGGTTCTCATGTCAAGATTCTGTGGGTTGGCCAGCAAGCAGCAATACCTATGTTCTGGCAAAGGTCAACATGTCATGAAAGGTGTCAATCAATCTGTGAAAGCTTTAACTATAGCTTAAGGATCCGTCTCCCCACACCAAAGGCTTCTTGCGTTCCGTCTAAACAAGAATGTGCTCAGAAAATCCAAAATGCAGATTGCGCAAAAGTTGAAGCCGCGGCCACGCTCGTTTGACCTGATCACCTAGCTCGAAAATACCTGCTGGGCGAGGTAATGGCCGGAAAAAAAACAAAAGCAAAACAACGGCATTTTCTCAATGGGAGTTAATTGAAAAGAAAACCAGAGTGAAAGCACTCTAGCCTTCTGCCCAGGCATGAGAGATGAAGACTTGGCACAATAGTCCTTCAGGATGCTTCATCAGTGCGTAGCTCATTCCCCCAGCAGCCAGTGTCAGGGGCTTCACATAGTGGTCATTCACTTGGTACAAGTTTGGCCCTTGGTTGGCTGAACATGACAAGGTCAGAACGACCAGTCTTGAACCTGAGTGCATCTGACTTGTACTTACAAGACTGCTACCTAAGCACCATGACTTCTTGGAGCCTTTGCCCATTGGCCTTCTGCCTTGGCCTGAACATCGTAGCTACAATGATCTCCATGAACCACCCTGCACAAACCAGTGCAAACTAACAAGAGTGATCTTCCCTCACAAAATACTTAAAATGATAGGTATCAACAAATATAGATATAGATATATAACATATCCATATATATATAGTTATATACATACCGCACATATATATATATATAGAGAGAGAGAGCACATCATGGCGTCTCCGCAGCCATGCGTCCATCTACCTCCTCGGCCAAACCAGTCAAAGTTCTCATTCGAGAACGGATGGTTGTTGCCGTTGAGGCAGGGCTCAAGCGAAAGTATGCGCCTGGGGGTGTAACGATCCACACGTCCAAGATGTGGCCTGTATATTAGAAAATAGTTATGTACAACTATGCGTGTGGCAATGAAATTCCATCGCATCGTCTAGTATGGTGGAACCTTCCTTTCGTTTTGGGCTCCACCTGGTAAGGTGCCCCTCTCGCGCTCCCAAATCTCGCGCACATCTGCGATGAAGGCGAAAAACTCGGCTTTCGTGATGCACCACCTCTCCGGCGGCACACGAAGGTGAAACTCCATGGCACATGCGGCGTTTCTGCTTCACCTGCTCTGAAAATCGCTTGTTGGCTGGCACAATCAAAACTTCAACTGGTGCAAATGTTTCGGCCATGGTAGTGTTTCGGCCAGTGTTTTGGCCATGGTAGATGTTTCAATTGACCTTTTTTATTTGATGTCATTTATACTATGAGTGTGCAAACCTTGACGAACCGTCAGTGCATAGGCCACCCTCGTGCATTTCACATTGAGCAGGTATCTACAAGTCTGCAAGCATCATGGATCCAAGCTGAGGTAGCAAGAGAGGTAGTCAGCATAAGGTGGGTTATGTGCGCAACAAATCTAGCACCGGTAGCACAAAGCCCCAGTGGCAACCAGGCAAGCTCATGCCCTGCCTCAAAGCTACCTCATCTAGCAGCCTGGTGCGGATTGACGCTTTGAGACGGATTCGCACATGTAAAAAAACGATTTGGACATCTGCATGGTTCCTTCGAAACAGTCCAACATTGCTACAGTTTGAGACCGGCCACTGGCTGATGCGTTTGAGCAACTGCTAGCCATGACGAGCTCGTTTGAACATTGATTTCCTACAGGTCGCAAGTCAAGCCCCAAGGGGTGGTGAAACGATGCGTGATTCCTACGCTTGTCAAGACCAAGACCTGAGGTCCCACGGGGTGGTGAACGAGCGATGTGGCCGACAACGGCGCGACGTCGGTGTGACTCCCTGAGCCGGAGTCACAATCTGCTGAAAGAAGTGCCACATAGAGGTGTGCAAAAGCTGCAAAAGGATCTTGATATATCTTGATCATTAATCTTATGTATAATTCGTTGCATGCTGGCACGCGTCACCCACCCATATTCTTGAGCACATCTGGATTGAACGGCATGGAGTAGCAGTTAATGGCAAACATCCAGCTGGAAAAGTCCTTGACATGCTGGCACAGCCATCTTCCCACCGTCTCTCAATTCTCACGCCAAGCGCGAACACATGGAAGGAACATGCACTGGTCCTCCGTCCAGCATCCACAGCGTTAAAGGAAAGGATCTTGCGAATGTGCATGTCCAGGGGTCATTTGAGTCATACTAGTACCGAATTGATTCCTGCGCATCGCCATTTAAAGTATATCGCACGCACGGAAGTTTGGACTGTGTGTAACCAAATCCACATCTGTGCACTGACCAAGTGTCAAAAAACATAAACAACAAACGCAACAAATAAATAATTGCAGCCTGGTCGAAAAGGATGTTTTATGATTTTTGTTATGCCCAAAGAGACTCAAACTAACGCATGCTTCAACATGCAAGCCGCGCCAACCTGTCTGAAAAGTGAGAATGGCGTCAATCCAAGAAACATTATGCAACTACAACGCAGCCATGCATGAAGTTCTAGCAGCTTTGGGCCTTTGAGCTCAAAGGCACTGTGCTCCAGCTGGTTTGAGGTCCTATCCGAACGCTGAGCTGATGCCACGATCCCCCGTCCAAACGACCGTTGCAAACAGAGGTCCTGAAGGTGCTCTATTTGGCAATCGGCCAGGTAAACTAACCTGCCGAAGCGCGGCTATTCAATTCCAAGCTCTCAGCACATCTCAATCGCTCCAATTGACTCGACTAAGTCGCTGTCTCCAAGGGCTTATGATGCCGCTTCTGTGGTTCTAAAAGTTTCACAAAGGCACAAACACACAAAACACAATGTAAGTGGCTGTTCGGCCTGGTCATGTGATACCTTCTGCCAGCAGAAGGAAGGTGGTATTCAAGGAACATTTATGACAATGGGATCACGGGGCCCAAGAGAAAAACAGAACACATGACAAAATGCATAGGCTTTACAGAATGGTCAGGCACTCCCTTGTGCAACCTTCGACTCAACAGTGCCTTCGACTCGACAATTGGCGAGGTGGCCGCTGTACTGGTGACCGCGTGGCTTCGGTTTCTCTCCCAACCCTCTGTGCACAATGGCTAATATTGATCACAGCATCCAAATTCATGTCCAGCAGCAAATGCAGGCAGTACGTATATATCTTATGAAATATTGTGTACAATTGTAATCAGCTATATATATATACATATAAAACACCTAATATGAATGGTTTGAAATGGTTTGAACCGTCTCGAGTAACATGACTCTACATTTCCTGACCTCCATGACATTCGGCTGAGAAGTCCCCATTCCTCCTGGCGATCATGTCAAGTATGTGGCACACGGCTTAACTCCTTGGAATTCAGGCTGGTGGTTGTCTTCTCTCGAAGTTGCTCGTATGCGATGTCCAGCATCCCCAACAACCAGAACCATTCGACAATGGGTTGCCTAAAACATGTAGATGCCTCGGTCTCCGTAGACTGTGGCCCCGTGTGTCTGCACACCGACAACACACGGCGGCCTCATTGGGCCTATCCCGGCCAGCGCAGTGGCAACCGACCATCCTAGCTACAGCGACAACAGCCGCACGATCGAAGCAGCTATGATGTACACCGGCAAAATCCACATATATAGACCAAAGGATATGGAACATGGAAGGGCTGGAAGGCTATCCCCTTCTCAAACTAAATGGTTTGGACCAGCAACCTTGATCATGCGAGGCCCGGACCCAGAAAGGAGGCCGTTGATGCGGCTCCTCAAGCAGGTCAGCGGAGTCAAGCTAAACAAGCGGTGTTCTGCGCCGAACGCAGATGGCATGGATTGGAACATGGGCATGTCTCGGACCCGGCCAGAACGCTGGCTGGCTGCCAGGCTCGACCTTTACCTATATGGCGGCTGGTCAAAACCCTGGCACCCTGGTTGACCCCGGGTCAAAAAAACAGACTCCTCTATAAGGGATGTCAACCTGGGGGAGGTTGTGACTCATAGGTTATATAACCAAGCGCATTCTGACATTGCTCGGAGCCACTTTTTTCACGATTGAAGAATCTTCTGCGCTAGACCTCTCAAGCAGGAGACCGTGAGGTCTGGTTCTGAATCCTGAGTGCAAACACTTCAAGCCATGTTCCAGCCACAAGCATGCAAATGATTGACAGGCCTGCTAGCCCACGTCTCAAGATTGTCTGAGTGTGTGCTTAAATTTTCAGAACTTGAAGAAACAAACAGGGCCCAAATGGCTAGAGTTCAGGGCCCAAAACATAGACTCAAACCATCTCCCTCCCCGCATCTTCCTGCATCCAAATGGAGATGATATGAGATGATGGGAAGCAAACCCTTTGGTTTCCTTGATGTGCATGTTGCCTTGCCAAACCCCCAGCGCGACCCAGCATGAATTGAATAGAATACCCTGCAACTCTCTGCTGCTCTGGTGCGGCTCCAGCTTGTCGGGCTGCCAGTGCTTCTTCAGATGACAAACTGAATCGATTCTGTGCTCGATTCGGGCGGTCAATGTGCACAGTCCTCCGGGATACTCAAGGTTTCTCTCTGAGAAACATTGAACCATATTGAACCTAACTTGGCTGCACAATGACCCCAACATTTGGTGACCATACTGCCATAGGGCATGGTATTGCGACCTACTGGGCTGGATCAATTGCTACACCAGTCCGAAGGCCCACACGCGCAGCAGCCGCAACATCCGTGGCCAAGTCATCACCCACATGCCACCAACTTAGCTTCAGCCGATTGACATATATCTTGTTCCTAGTAGCTTCTTGTTACTACTAGTAAGGCACTTGTTACTAGAAGCGATGCACTTGTTCCTAGTTGCTTCTTGTTTCGTTTCAAGAGGACTGCGGCGCGATTCATGGTCAAGAGTCAAAAGTATCACATGGGTGGAGCATCCAAAAGACGTCCCAAACCCCCGACAAACAAGAAACAACTGTCAAAAGACATCGTGGTGCCCAGCCGGTACTGACCAGCCGGTTGGGAGGGGTCTTTGGCCCAGTCGCGACTCACCGGTCCATCCAGAAGAGCGCGCACGCTCCAGTGCTTCTTGGAAGATCACGGGGGATGGCTTCCGGTGCGGGAACATCGTCTCCTCTGCAGTTTCCACGTTCCCAACATGAGCCGTGTGTCCGAGTCCTTCCATTTGTGAGTCCCAACGCCAAACACTAAGCAAAAGTGTTGCTGCAGCAAACTTCTTGAAGAAACAGTGGCAAACATTCGCTGAGCACTAGAATACCAACATGCCGAATCAGAAACAACCAAAAAAGACTGCATAGCCTCCTCATGTGAAGCACCTGTGTTTTAAGGGAAACTGCCTCCGTAAGTACATTGCTACTGCTGCCTTGTCCCCAAGAAAATCATTGGCAAGCATCCCCAAATGCTCACATGTGCTCACAAAGATGTGTTGCACATATATACCTTCTCCTCCTGTGCTGAAACGGAGAAATGGAAAAAGTTGGCCAATGCAGGAATATCACGAGGGTTGCCGGCACCATTGGTGATTGCCCCAACAATAGCTCCAGATGAAGCGAGTCCTTCCTGCAACGAGTTAGTTTCCGTTTCACTGATGTGCTCGCAGTTGCTCCTATATCAATATCATTCCACGCGCCCTTTAGACTCATGAACCGAAGCTGCTTCACCAAAACCCGTGTCCAAGCAAGGCATGACGTCCGGGTAAAGGAGTTTGGCACCAGCATGATTGCGCGCAGAAATCCACTGTTGCAGAACTTCTTCCTGGAGCACTCCAGCCAGAGAGAGAGAGAGGGAGACAGAGAGAGATCTCAAAGCACAAGAAGGGTGAATGGGATCGAAATCAATGCTGCCAGCAAGTCTCTGCCAATGCTGTGTCATCAAGGAGCTCAGCATAGGCTGCGCAGCGAAGATTGCAATAGCTCACCTTCTCCCATGGAGGTTCCTGCCGAAGACGGCGCATGGTGCCCTGCACCTAGGCCAAAATGAGACAATTGATGTCCAGGAATCTATGCATGTATACTCATGTATACCTGTTCTTAAGCTCTGCCTCTACAAATCCATTTGCACACCAAGTGCTTGTGCCCTGCCTCTTCTGCTGACAGCGTCGCATGAAGACTGGCGATCTGCTGATTGGCCTCATGATCTTTCAGGCTACAAGTCGGTGCGGCTCACGGAGATGCTATGCATCCCACGTAGAGACAGCTTAAGCTGATAGATGTCAAAAAGGTGCTTGGCCTTCCAAACTTCAGGTACCTTATATAGATCGAGACATAGAGGTCCCCCGACTTTCAGAGCAGCAAGCTACACATGGTTTTCCTATGTTGTCTTCTAGCTGTAATTTGTTCTTCGGTTTTAGGTCCTAGGTTATCCCTGCCTCTATAGGTTTTTCCCCTGCCTCTATATGTAGCTTCCCTGACAATTCAAACGAAAAGTCTATCGTGGACTCTCTCCTCTTTCCAAGGCTGCTCTATATGTAGAGCATCTGATATTTTTTCTTTGGACATCAAAACGTGTATCATGGGATCTCAGCTCTTTCGCTGCGACTTCAAAAGATCTAGCATGGAATCGCTCCTCTTTCCAGCCCGAGATACAAAGATAGGTAGGTAAAGGTAGAGAGATAGATACCACTGTTGCGGAGTTTTGCAGGACACTTGAATGGTTCAGAACGAAGCCATGTTGACAGGTGAGTGGAAGAGATCAAGCGGCAAAAGCCTGGTGGCCCTTGGCATCCATGACATGACATGTGGTGCTGCAGGTCATGACATGTGAGCGACCTTCGAAATTAACCTTCCAATTTTGGTTCACGGTTTCCGGCTTCATTTTCCCAGGACTTGCACCAGTTAAACTACTGTGCTCTGTTTTGTTCGCCAGGTGAGTTAGATTACTGCACCTTTACATAGTGGAGTGCAGCACCACTCCAACAGCTGATGTCGGCCAGGCTCTACAAAGGACACTTTTTCGTGGATTTCGGCATCGGTTTAAGATGCAGGAAGCGCAACAAAGCTGCGATCCGAGGGGTTCCCAGCTTCCACTTTCCAGCTCAAAAAAGGATAATAAGGATACACATGCAAGCATCCCACCAAGAGGCTTCGTTTTCGGGTTTCCGGCTTCGTTGTCCGAGGAATGTGCAACATCTTACTCCAAATGGACGCATTTAAAATAAAGATCAACGCTAGGTTTTTTGTGGTGGCTCATATGCATACTAACAGGCGGTATAAGTAGCCAAAGTCTTCAACAAAATGTATACTATAGTAAACATGTTACATATTTGCAATAGCCTTTTGATTCTTCTTGTTACTATTTACTAATTCATATTAAGGCTATTTCTGTTGATTCGCTTCCGGCGACTTTTAATGAAACATTATCCCGGGCACAGGGCCCCCAAAAGTGGAACAGTGCGTGAGAGGTCATCTATTGCAAGAAATGGATGTGGCCATGTAACCTAGATTGCGAATGGCTCACGAGGTATAATGGATATGGCCATCTAAGCCAAAAGCCACAGAAACGTTCAGGGATTTATATGTCACTCAGAAGGGCGTATCTTTCAGACAGTATTACTCTTATTTAAGTAGAAGGCCACCAAAAGTCCAAAGTCGGCAAAGCGACAGAAGCTGCAACAGTCAAAAGCCGCCAAAAGCCGAAGCCACAAAAGCCAGAAACCATCCAAAGCCAAAACCTACAAAAACCAGAAAAACCAAAAGTCATCCAAAGCCAAAAAAAACCAAAACCACCAAAACCAAGCCCCAACAGGGTTGTTGACATGATCTTTTTGAGACTCGCTTCTGGGAGTTGAAACATTCCAAGGTTATTTGATACGCTCTAAGACTTAAATACAATAATTTAATAAGTCAATGTGGCAAAAATTCAAAACAGTTGAAAAAACGAAAACAACTCCTTTAAAACAGTGGTCTACACATAATAAGTTCCAACATGAAATGCACAAAGAAACAACCTGGCGCAGGGTGTCACAGGGTAGCTGCATGTGCCTCTTCAATAACCTCCACTTGGGGCCACAGGGTGTCGTCAAGGTCAAAGGACACAACTGCACTTGCTGCTCGCAAGCTCCTGTCAGACCCAAGGAGGCACAGCAAATCTGGAATCTGGAAGAAACAAACATTAGATTTACTCTTCTTGTTACTGGTCCCGATGCCCTTGTTACTAGTTACTAGTAGCTTCTTGCTCCTAGTAGTAAGGCCAGGAGCTACTAGTAGCGTCCTTGCTCCTAGTGGCGATGCCCTTGCTCCTGACAGGTCTGTAAGCAGAAAGTCTAGAGATCTAGACGCATTGGGGTCCAGAAAGGTGATGGTGGTGATGAAGTGAAGGTGGGTGTGAGTGAGTGTGGGTGAGAGGGAGTGTGAGTGTGAGTGAGAGTGGGAGAGTGAGTGTGAGTGCGAGTGTGAGTGAGAGTGAGTGTGGGTGAGAGTGAGAGTGTGAGTGTGAGTGACAGTGGGAGAGTGAGTGTGAGTGAGTGCGCGTGTGAGTGACAGTGAGTGTGGGTGAGAGTAAGTGTGCCTGAGAGTGAGGGCGTGAGGGAGTGTGAGTGTGAGTGAGAAAGTGGTAGAGCGAAAGTGCGAGGGAGGTGAGGGTGACTGTAAGGCGGGTGAGTGAGTGTGGGACAGTGAGTGAGAGTGAGAGTGGGAGAGTGAGTGAATGAGTGTGAGTGTGAGAGTGAGAGAGAGTGAGTGTGAGTGAGAGTGCGAGTGAGTGTGAGTGAGTGTGAGTGCGAGTGCGAGTGAGAGTGAGAGTGAGTGTGGGTGAGAAGTGCTGTGCCTGCCACGAAATCTACTCTTCGAGGTTCACCAAGTGCTGCACCTGCCACGAAATCTGCACTTCGAGGTTCACCAAGTGCTGTGCCTGCCACGAAATCTGCACTTCAAGGTTCACAAAGTGCTGTGCCTGCCACGAAATCTGCACTTTGAGGTTCACAAAGTGCTGCACCTGCCACGAAATCTGCACTTCGAGGTTCACCAAGTGCTGTGCCTGCCACGAAATCTGCACTTCAAGGTTCACAAAGTGCTGTGGCTGCCACGAAATCTGCACTTTGAGGTTCACAAAGTGCTGTGGCTGCCACGAAATCCGCACATCGAGGGTCACAGAATGCGGTGCCTGCCACGAAATCTGCACATCGAGGGTCACAGAGTGCTGTGCCTGCCACGAAATCTGCAAACGAGCCACATATCCAAAAGTCACGATTCACTGCACCTGTCACGAAATCTGAGCTCCTCGACGATCACCACCATGTCCAAAGTGCTGCGCCTGCCACGAAACACGAAAACTGCGTTTCGATTTAAAACAGCTCCGATTCCTGGCACCTGTCACGAAAAGTCGACTTTGGAGCACCAAAACGCGAGGTTTCCCTTGCGCCTGCCACGAAAAGTGACCACCATATACCAAAGGGCGCACGGCACCACAACGAGAGCGCAGTCGCTAGAAGCACCCGCCGCCGGCAGGCAGATTTTGCAAGCCGGTGCAGTCGAAGTGCACATGGACGATGTCAAGAACCATGAATGTACTGTAAATAGCAGCGAATTAGCCGGACACGGCCGCGCGCTTCAGCGATCTAAGCATCAGCTGCTTTTTCTACTACCGTAAGAACCCCTCAGTGTGCCCACACTGTTTGGGGAAAAACTGAGTCTACTTGGGTACACTCATTTTCATGCATGATCGCAATCCACCGCCTGCCTGTCTTTTCCTTCTTACTTACACCTTCACTGCACCTCCGTTCAAGTCACACATCACCATGCGGTTCAATGATTGACCGCACGCGCTTTCCATGCACACCTTCCCCCGATACAACCCCCTGTCCTCAGTGACCGTGTGGCAGTGGGGCGTCCGCAAAACAAGGCCTCCTCGAAAATGCAATGGACACACTACCCATCAAATGGCAAACGCCTGTAACTGTAGGGCCTGTAGGGCATTCTTCCCTTGACTGCAGTTGAGACTGTTTTTTTCCATGTCCACTTCCAGGTGCAGCCCGATGCGTTTCTATACCTACCAAAATAGTCTGATACTTTTTGATGTGGCAATGTCAAGCATCAAGTCCAAGCTTGCAATGTCAGTAAGCTGAGAATGGGTCGAGATCGACTCCGGCTACACACGAGATACGAACGATCATCCGTGGGTCTTATGGTCGCCCACGTTGCACACTTACTGTATACGTTTCGATGGTCGCCCTTTCAGTCACATATGTTAGGTTAGCTGACTACTTCTTCAGCACGGTGGTCTTCACACTCACCCAATGAATAATTGGAAGTCAGCGCCCCCAGGTGGTGATTGGATAGTTTATGCGTTGCTGGTCGCTATGTCTTTTGCATAATTATAGAAAGTGATGAGTGACACACACAAGAATAATGATCTCCTCTCTATCACATCTATAACTTTATACTTTTGATATTTAATACTCTAGTCTATATAAATAAGCCCTGCCTTTGAGAATAAGCAGCCGAGCAAGCTCAGCGAAACCAACCAGCAGCGAAAGTCGCAGATGCCCCGCAATTGAACAGGTGCAGTGGCCATCACTGTGGCGAATGGGAAGGAAAATATTGAAATCAAACACGAAGCAAACTTTGCATTCGTACTCGAATTAATTGCCATCTGCCATCGATCCGTTTCTGACCAAGCAAGCCATCTTCCTACTTGCCCCCTCCGGGGAGACATCAACTCCAGGATGATCGAGTCGGATATATACAACAAACAGTTCAGAAGCTCACAGGTTTTCCATGATGATGTATATGTGATCCACCAAAAGACTACTGCACTGTACTGTAAGTGTCACACAAACGCCGATGTCAAATCTCCATAAATCTCCTGGTTGTTTGTTCCTTTCACGCTGGCCCTTCTTGACAAGCATCTACATCTACATTGTCTCGCATTGCTTCTCACTTTGGGCCAGAACCCAGCATAACCCAGCAACGTCTCAACTACATATATACACAAGTTAAAGCTGCAAGCTCCGTGTTCAAAGAATCACAGAACGCAAATTTAGTGATTTTGGCCAAAACCCACATCAATCCTCCAACATCTCTTCCAATCCGTGCATATCTACTCATGGACTTCTAAGACCATCACCCACAAGCCCGGTCAATCTCCGCCACCACGCGTGCAGGTGTCACCGCTTGGTGCCTGAGAACCATTCCATCGTCGGTCTGAGAAAGTGAAAGGAACTCTACCCGTTGGTTTGGTCGTTGTCCCTCTCCTGGAGGTCCCGATACTTGAACATCAGGGAGAGTGATATCTCAGTTTTGGTCGGACTTCAATGCACTCTCTAGATCAGCTGTCGTGATCTCGAACTTGCTTTTTGTTGCCTCAATGGGAGCGATCAAATGATGTGCGCCATCTGGCTGATCGTCACCCAAAAAGCATATTATCAAAACCCCGTTCTTAAAAGCCTCCTTGACAGGATTCAATTCAGAGCTAGAGCTGATGAGGAACAAGCCAGCATCAAATAGAGTCAGGCTCAAGGGGTCCGGGTGCTGAACCAAACGCACCCAATGTGACGTTTCATCACATCTCTCACAGCAAACCATCTGGCTCGAATCCTGCTCATGGCCAGCGCTTGCTGGCTCCGGGGGGGTAACCAAGACTTCCGTGTCCAGGGCCGGGCCCGAGGAAGAAGCAACAAAAATCAAATCAAAACATCACAAGATCAATTTGCTGATGATAGTGGTAGATCTTCGGTGGCCAATCGATGTCAACGATGCCATCCTACAGTTGTTTATTGCGGAATCATGTGGAATCCACATTTGCGCGGTCAATGGCATGTCGCACTTTGACTTGGAAAATTGATGTGCACCAGCCCCACAAGGGGCACAAAGCCAAACTATTGTACCCTGCATTTCACAGAGCTTTAGTATCACCTAGCCAAGTCGAATCACTGACCTGTCTTGTGTCCATCACTGATTTCCGTGCACATCACTTGATAACTCCTTCGCCTGCTTTGACGACCATGTCGTCATTTGGTACGTAGTCTGTGCTGGCTAGCTGTAACTGCAAAAAGGTTGACAAAATCGTTGGGCTCATGAGCTCGACAAAACCCACTGGAGGCATGGCGCCCACGAGCCTGTTGGGCAATGTTCATACCCCAAACATGCCTTGATGAGACTCAACTATATCATCTTAAACATATGTCGACTTGGCGAAAGGGTGCTTCAATTCCCAAAGGAAGGATGTTCCCTCTCATAGCGCTGGCGGATCTTCTCCAGGCGGCCTCAGGGGAAGCTCAATGGATCCCAATGGGGCTGGAATTTAAAGAGCACCAGTTTTTCCTTTTCCTCTGCTCACCTTAACTACCGACTTATTGTTTGGACATAGTTTACAGTTTATAGATTGACGTCAGAGTCCTAATTACTCCCTTCCCGGCCTCGAATAAACCTTCGCCTGAGGGTCGGTGAAAAAACAAATAAAGCATCAACACGCATGATATAGCCGCTAGCCGCTAGCCACAATGGGATGTGCCAAACACACTGAGAGCAACACGGTAAACGTCCGCTGATCCAAGAGATGAAACGCGGCACCAATGGCACCTTCAAAATCCTCCAGGGGAAAAAAACTGCGCGACATACAGGAAGAAGTATCAACAGTCTAAACATTAATTCAATTCTAAGTCCAGTCCGGGGATTGCTTCAGTGCATGCGAGGGTTTCTGCTCGCAATCTTCCCATTCTCCTTGGAATCAAAGGTACCCGGAGGAGCCAACCAAGATATCCAACCAGAACATCGGCATTCTTGGAGACCTCCAGCAGCGCCAACAAGCAGCGCCAGTGTCAGAAGATGTGTCTGTATCTCCGCCAAACTGAAGGCTTAAGACAGACTAGGCCAGGCAACACAAAACCTATTCGGAATTCGCACGAATAAATACGGTATATAAATGATTAACTATTAAACTTTTGGTCGTGGCACCTCTGGGAAGCGCGTGAAAAGCTTGATGTGTGGCAGCAAGTCATCCATGTAGGGCAGCACATATGGAATGTGCCTCAACAAGTGCCGGGCGTCTTCTCTGCTTCGCAAAAGGTCCACACTGCCCAAAGCCAAAGGCTTGGCCGCTGGGCATCTGCATTCCGGTCGAGTGCCTTCGCGTATCAAATTTGGAGTGCCAAGCGTCGGATGAGCAAGTGGCAAGTGTGTTGCCAGCTCATCGAGATTCGGAACCAAAAAGTCCACATAGGGGAGCAATTTTGGCAGGTAGGAGTTCTCCTATTGCTCACACTGACACATGTTGTGCCGTTTGACATCACTGCTGTTTGCAAGATACTCTAAATGTTCATGTCCAGATATGACTAGAATGTATTTGCATCAAGTGCAATCAGGACCTGAGCGGTGTCAAAAAACGGTCGCCATAGCGGACTGAGCATGCAAGGAATGTGAATAGCACATCCAACCAACTGCTAATTGACGGCGAATTAAACATACAGTTACAGTATGTTACAGTGCATACTAGGCTCATGTAGGCTCCCCACCTGCCTGCTTGAATAGGCAATGTCTATGAGACGGGTCCCACGAGTCTTTTCGATTCTGTTCGACTCTCTCGGAGGGGGGCTCGAAGAGTCCTCCACCTTTGCCGCACCTAGCTGGATTCTCACCGTGGACATGATGGATGCTTGCGGATGCCAGCAACGAAAGAACATCATTGGATGGTGTTTTGCCAAACAAAAGTCCGCAGCTGCAGGTGCAAACTGGCCACTCAAAGTCGCGAGGTCCTGCTCTCTCTCTCTCTCTTTCTGCATTTCACCAAGCATCCCTCCCATTCATCTATCAGGTTGTCCACCAGGCATTCCTGGCGAGTATGGTGCAAGACTCTCGGTATTCTCTCAGTACTTTGATGATTGCCATACAGTACAGTGCATGAGCTTTGGAACCCGGAGTAGGCCCCTCTCGAGTAGGCCCCCCGCCTCGACATTCTCAAGCTTGGGCTCGTCAAAGCATCGCTCCAGGTCAGGGCTTTGATTCTTCCGACCTAGACAGTCTCATCGGATTTGTCTCCATCTTTGTGAGGGATTTTGTTTCGAACCAATCACCTAAGCGGAGTCCCTCCCTCCCTGACATCTGTTGTGTCCTGTTCATGTTCTTTTGTCGCTTGAATTAGATAGCTCCCAAGATCTCCCAAGCATGAGGCACCGACCCAGCTCAGCATAGGGCATGAGCAAATCGAAGTGATCAAGCAACGCGCCACAGTGTTTCGCCAGCACATCCTTGGATAAGCATCCGACGTCAAACCAGTCAAGCTGACGGTTGGTGGCTTGTCCTCTTTGGCCATCTTGGATGGCCAATGCCCAACTTGCTAACGCATCGAAGTCTTTAAGGAGGGCTTTCGCTCCATACGAAATCGGACCAACAAATTCGAGCTTTGATGTGATATTTGAACCGTAAACTGTAAACTGAAGAAGCAAATACAGTATACAAGTGGAACTTCACAAGGCCGACCGCAGGTCGCAGAACGCCGCCCAGGCACTAGATGAAGAAGGATATACGGCAAATGGGGCTCAATGCGATCCATCCGTTCCATGATCCGGTCCAGGTGTGGCTCCACGATGTCCAAATACTGATCCAAAATGCGCACGATGCCTCATCCGACGACCGCGTCGTCGGTCTTGCACCGGACCGCACCCAGAGCGAAGAAGGTGCGGAAGATAAGAAGGGTCACATTAGGCTTGCACGAACTTCGTTCGGTTTCTATATATAGTTGTTTTTTTCTCACCTCTGGCCAAAAGTGCCTGGGGATTGCACCTCTTAACCGCGGGAAAAGTGTCATATGATGTCATATGTCTGGTGTGTCCACCAATAGTTCCCACAAATGACGTGTCACTTACAGTACTTCTGGACGCCCAAATCAGCCTAAAATTGTTTGGACCACACAAGTGACTACGACGACGATGTCAAGTGACTTGGCACGTGTGGCCCCAGGATTGACAAGCGAGTATAAATTGATGGCAAGTGAGTGACAATAGACTGGGAATGCCTCAGTGGTTGAGTGGGCTCTTGCTGCTTTCAGCAACTGCATCATTGCACGAGTCATGTGATTGTTTAATCTTGAATTTGCTTTGAATAAAGCTACTCCTCAAGATCTGCTCTCAAGCAACAAGTGCAGGAAACAGCCTAGAAATCTGGGCCAAGGTTCGGCAGAATCTTTTTTGTCAAAGCTGGGCGCACTGCCTGAAGAGTCCAACTCAGAAGTGACTGACTCAAAAAGCTCTGACTCATAGATACTTGATTGGTGTGACTGTGAGTCAAAAGCTCAGCAGCTGGAATTCGCAGGTTCCACGCAATTCGCAGTTTATCGTCCACATCTGACGGAAGCCATCGGTGTGTAAACTAATCCACTGAACATGATCTGCTCGTTCTCGGCTGTAAGGTCTCTCACTACGTCGCAGTGACCATCCCTGTCCAAGTTGCAAGTCGTCCACCAATATGGAAGCCAGCTCGAGTCTGGTCTGCCAAGTATGTCCAAGGGTTGTCCGAGTCCTGGAGCAGTTGAAACGAACTTGTGAGTGAGAACAGCTTTGTCCAGCTTGCTGCGGGTGCTGTGCAAACAACGTAGAAGTGGATGCACTGCGTAAAATGGCATTGCTGCTGCTGCTGCTGCTAGTGCGAGCGGGGGTCCCAAAGTACTGATTAATCACGAAAAAGGAGGTTGCAAATGAAGGATCAATGATAAATCACTGACTTCGGAAGGGAGGGGGGGCTCCCCATAGAATCGATATCTCACTGTTGTGAAATAGAACAGGCTGTTCAAGCTACCTCTCCGCTTCGCAAACTCAAGGTAGCCCGGTCTGCAGAATTGTTTATCCAATGAGTCTAATGCTTGCTCTTGCTGTGACCACTTCATTCTGATCTCACTCTTGATGGAATCCCTTGACAATATATACAGTATCCAGAACGGTACCGAAGGCTTTTTCATTGAAGTGCAACCCCCAAAATGTCAAAATCACACACATCAACAGTAAGACTTGCATCAAGCCGCGGCGACTCTCTGCAAAAGCACACGGATGGATTCGTTGGGGGCACCATCCTGGCATGAAAGGCGGGAAGTTCTTGGTCCCCGTGCGAATTCTACACGGCTTTCGTTGCTTTGCACATCATAAATCCAAACAAGTCCTCCAGCAGCTCCAGCAGGCAAATCACCAGCTTGTCTGGTCGCTACCCTCGTACCAGGCCTATACAGCCTATACACCTCTTTGTTTTAGGTATTGCTGTGCTCACTATGAACGCTCAATCGCATTTAGTTAGACTTTTGGTTGACTGTTTAAGGGTGTTGCTTAGGTTTCTTAGCTCCTCATCATGTCTTGGTTTCTTGTTTGTCTACCATTGTCTACTAGTCGTTCCTTGTTGCCCTGTCGTTTTGGCTAGTGACTAGTGAAGTGTGTTATGAACTTTCCACGGCGCATTGTTTGGGTGAGGAATGCATGTCATGGTCATGGAGCGGAATGCAAGGGTTCACAAAGTTCACACGACCTGCCAAAGCTATAAATAAAACGACATATAGTACATGTATATATACGAACTGTGACATTTTAGTACGACCGTACTTACTAGTGACTCTCCATCGGCGCATGCCCAAACGACTCCGCCTGCAAGGAGCGGAAAATCCGCCGCGTGGCGTCGGTGGCATCGCGGGCAGTGAGGCCCGAAAGGACCAAATCCACGCAGGGGCGAAAAGCCGACAAAAGCTGAGCATACCTGGAGTAGATGGACCCAGGCACCTGTCTGAGTACTGATGATGATCAAACGAAAAGGTAGCACATTGATCAAGGTTGATCTAGGTGAGCAACTGGGGCAATCAGTACATCCCACATCGTCCCACAGGACGGATATCAACATGTGCAGGGTCAAAGGCACTTTTAAAGGAACAAACACCATACCATCTACAGCACATTGAGCCAAAGGATAGCCAAGGTTCAATTCAATTTCTGCGAGCTTACCTTCGTTGTCACGGCCCTCTTCTTCTAGCACCTCAATGCAAAAGTAGACTCACCAAAAACTTATGTATATATATATATATAAATCCTCCAAAATCTATAGATTGATTGGAGCCTCAGTGTCACTGGCACCCTGCAGCTCGGCAAGGCGTAGCCTACTCTGACATGGAAGAGCTTGTTTGATGCAATAGACCTTGCTCTTAGCATCTCTTAGCAAAGCGCCCTATACAACCGTCCGGCATAGAGGACATCAATCAATGTCGACGCAGCCAAGTTTTTGCTGCTCGTCGCCTCCCACGTGCATCCGCATCATCCAGATTCGTCACAACTGGACTGCTTTGTTTCCGGACTATTTGGCTGCTGTTTTTGGTGGGCTCGCTAGTCACATCACAGAAAAAACCCACCTGATTCATGGCTCCACCCACCAGAAGGGAGGGACTGCGCCCGACCAATTCCAGGGCCTGAGAGCGCTGCTTAAGCTGCGTGAAAAGACTCCGCTGTCCGGAACTCAATGACTAAACGTTGTATATACATATATATATATCACATTGGTACAGGTCACATAGGTCACTATCAATGGGCCGAAGTGAACAACTTTGGTCATCCTTCTCCAGCTGCAAAGCTCACACCGCCATGTGTTTGGCGCCTTCTCTCGAGAACTGATGGCTGCCAACCGGGCCAGGACTTCAGACACCGAGTCGGACTCCACCTCAGGAGCCCACAACATCTGACGAGCAGCTTTACCTAAAATGAGTCATTCAAACTGTATATATATATATATTACAACATGTCAAATGTCAAATGAATATGCAGTATCAGCGCTAAAAAAAGTGCTGTGTCAGATAAGGTGCTAAAAGCGGCGTTGCGTCCATTTCTATGATCTTCAGCGCCTGAATCACGGCGACGCGAAAAGGTCACTTAGTTGCGCGGACAGGGTTGAGAAGTTTAGAACCAATTCACCAAATTCCCACAGTCAAGGACTGAAGCGGACCGTGCTCAAAACAAACCCACAAGTCAGTCCAACACATCCATATATTGCTATGAATGGCCCGAACCCCATATGTATGGCCCGATGGTAGGGGCTCCTCAAGCATTGCAACCTCTCCTTCACACAAGCATCTCACTGCTCGAGGTGAAGTGATGGGATTTTGCACAGCGAATCCACGGGGTGTGTTCAAGGCTAGTCGAAGTAGTTACTTCAGTGCCACTCTGTGCCACTGTTGCAGCTAAAAGTGGCGATGAGTTGTGCTCCAAAGCTACTAACCCGTCTGCACCTGGTCTTCCGTGATGCCCAGCGACTGCACCAGCCGTGGCCAGCGCTGCTTCACCTCCAAGTCTGGAGACAGTTCCGTCACATGACACATATGATATCACACGACACACAGAAATGTATATATATAACTAATAGCAATAACAATAGGAACAAACATAATAGTAGTATATCTATATATCATTATCATAAATATATATATATATATATTATATCATATATCCAGTCTGTGTGTGTGCGTGTGTGTGTGTGTGTGATCACATGTGGGTCATATGCCATATGCATGTTGGACCCTGTTGCTGGTAACCTGCATATATATATATATTATGTTGGAACTTACGTTGGATTCAAGCCCCACCTGCTTGTATCCAAAGGGTGTGCCCAAGAAGTTGGCATCTAACACCTGAGGCGCGTTCCCGACACGGGGACCTTCATCGGGCTGCAGCACGTTGCCACGTTGGAATGCAACAAAAACCATCAAAAAACAACAACTCGGTTCGAACAAAAAAGCAAAACTGGGTGAGATGCTGTTTTGGGAGGCTTTGTCCTTGTTATCCTTTCCCCTTTTAGTGCGCCGACTAGTCAAGGTCCAAGAATTACCAATACAGGATTGCCAATACAAGCAAATGCTCTTGCACCAAGAGCAAGCAAGAGTCCAACCATCTTCACCGCCAAAACACCGTTAAAACATGCCAAAACATCCCAGCCGTGTCGGACCCCAAATCCACATCTTGTCAGCCGTGACGGGCCGTGTTGCCGACCCGATCTGAGGACACGGACCGCTTCGGGGTGTTGACGCAACACTGCTCTCCAAACTTGCCGTAGGTGAACATGGTGTGCATCCCTTATTGGAGCTTCAGTGAGCCCAAGGTGGTGCCACAGTTGGCTTGACTCAAACTAAACGCCTTTGAAGCAACTACATGCAGCTACATGAATGTGAAATATCTTGGACTTGAAGGAAATGCTGAATTCAATTCTGTGCCTCGACTAACAGTACATCCAAGCTGCTCTTCTGAAGCATCTTCCCATTCAGCAACACGTTTCGCCGCCGCACTCCTGTGTCACTTGGGTTTGCCTGTGACTGGGGGGGCTGCATTCAGTGGACATCACGGATTCAGTGGTGGTTCCTAATGTTGTTCCTGCCATTTCCTGCCCATGTCACGTGTGCCCCGCAGCAGTGGTGCACTTCCCCAGCCTTCCCAACCCCCTTCTAATTAGTTTCTAGTCCAGCCTGGCAGCAAATGCGGCAATTGCGGCTACTGCTGATGCTGTCAGTACCTGTGCTGTTCAATTCTCAACTGCTTCAAGTGCATTCAACTGATTCAACATGATTGAATCATATTGAATCCATGCACTTGCGCAGGAAATGAACTGGTGTGCCTCAATGGCTAAGTATATGTCAGCGTGTCTGTCTTCAGGCAAGTCGCTGTTTCAGCTTCCAACCCTGCCAAAGTCACGGCAGCTGTCTCCGCAGTGGCTGCAACGCCACCGCTGGCCTAAAGGCAGGGAAGGTCTGTCGCCAGACTTGTTTGAAAAGCTTCCAGAAACAATTGAATTCAGTAATTCGGTCTATGTGATAAAGATAAAGATTCCACCACACATTTGAGGCCCCTCACTGACCTCACTGCCTCGCTCGCAAGCGGTGGTTGAACCAAAGCCCCGCTCGCTCCCACCAGCTCGCGCCGCCCTGCCCTGCCCGCTCGGTCGCTCCGCCCTACCAGTCCGTCCCCGCCTCGGCCATGGAGGCGGCGATGGTGCTGAGGGCACCGTAGGTCTCGCCCGCCGCGCCCAGCTCGGCACGCTCCATGAGGCGGAACTCGGCGCGCTGCAGGGCATCCGACATGGCCTCGGTCATCTGCCAGAGCTCCACCTCGGCCCCGGGGAGTCGGCCCACTCGGTGACTAAAAAGATGTATACAGTATTCTTACTAGTATTCTTCATGGAAGTGTGAAGTATTATGAACACTACATGTGAAATGACTGGGTTTTGCTGGAGGATCTTCTTTAGTTGGCTAGTGAAAAGTGAGCCTTGGCATCCTTGGCAGAACATGCAACCTTCCTTGTTAGCCTGACACTGTCGGAAACAAGATCCATGAACACAACTCGAAGGAAGAACTTGGGCTTAACACATTCCTTTCGAGTCACTCTTTACTGGGAAGCAAATGACCGCCCACATGTTGCAATTGAAGCCCCTCAGAAGTGGGAACCGCGGGTCTTGAATACCAGCTTCCACAAATCATGGAAGAATATATATTCAATGTGAAACAAAACATCATCTCCGTTGCAACATCCACTATAAAATGGGGGGAGGCAAGTCGGGGTCTCAAAAGCCATCATTCTTGATGCTTTCTCTTGAGTTGGCCCATGGGAATGTGAATGAGTCCTCGAAGCCTGGTATTTGGTGCGGCTTGGGAGCACGATCATAGTTGACAAAAGGCGCATGCTGTTTGATTTGTACAGAGCTGGTAGGAACACCAGTTAATTAGTAAGTTGTCAGCCATAAAAATCAAACCCAAAGCTGGAGATGCATGTCAAGGCTGGCTTGGAGATGTCATTCTTGCTTGCCTGCCTCATCCAGAACAAGCACCAGCCACAAGCCACATAGTCTGCATTTCTTCAATTTCCAAGGCACTGCACTGGCTTTGCAGCTCGTTGTCCTGCAGCCCCGTGAGAAAACGATTCATTCAACGCGAAAGAGCTGGAGACTCAGATTTTTGCTCAGAAACTACAGTAACAATCTAGGAACCAAAAGAATAGTACGGGGAGCTTCCTTGAAGAAGCGTGAGGCGTGAGCTATCGTTTAAGTAGCTATACAGTATATTAAACGATGGAACTTTCATTTACCATGTGTGACGCTTGCTCGCACTTGCTCAAGAGCTACTGGTGGAATTCAACATCACAAACTGGTGCACTCCTCAGCCTTCTTCTGGAACGAAAGCAGCCAACCTTGAATGGTGACATAGGTGGAACTTTGGGGGCGCCAGATGAATTGGGCTTGACCTTGAGTAGGCTTTTAGCTGACTTTAGCCATCAGCAAATCATAACCCACTCTTCCAGTGGCTCTGCCAAATGCTGCTGACAATGCTGTATGCGTTTGGTCTTGCCCTTCATGTGACCAAGCGTCTCTCTTTCTGCGCCTGCCAAATAGGCTGGTACCGCGCAGGCTCATCCTGGGCTGTCCCCAAATTGTCACTAAAGCATATCGTCAGCCAAAGCTCACAGGAATAGCACCATCTTACAGTGCTGAATTAGAATTACAGGGCACCTCTCTATCCAAAATATCCCAAGCAACCAATCACTGTCTTGTGTGACTGGTGAGAATCAGCTAGACCGTAACAAAATGGTTTTGATAAGCTAAGGCACTGATGCACTCCAACCACACTGCATGTGGTGATCCCTGGCACCAGCCACAGCCCTGTCCTGTGTGACAGGGCGCAGTCTCACTCTGCTTCAGAACACATTGGTCACCGTAAAGAATGGGATACGGATACTTATTCTCATTGGGATGGAGCAAGTTCCAAACAGTTTCACTCTTCATGCCTCCCTGTGCCGCACATGGTGAAACTTGCGCCCACCCAACTCCTGGCCTCCAAGGCCTAGGCTGTGCAACATCCCTCCTGGCCGCGGCGAAGTCATGCGACCGATCTCCGATTCGGCGAATCGAGGGCCAAAACCGTCGATTCGACATACGTGCCGAGGATCTCCTGTCCAAGTGTGACAAGCAAGGCCTGGCCAATCGAGCACACTCTCCCTGTCGTCTCTCCGACTCAGACTCTACCTGCTCTACCTACTGAGTCAGGTGTATATCCAAACACACACGCACAAAGATACACTACACCGCAAGTATCACAGACACGATCAAACGCGTTAATATCTCTCCGCTTACCTGGCATTACCCATTTGCCGAGCAAAATGTCCAGCCCAAAAATCGTCGGATTGAGCAAAGCTGCAAATTCAATTCAAGTGCCAAATGTTCAGCCAATTGACGCATCAATTTATATATACATAGTTTCGCGTATGTCATGTACCCTGCAAGAACTTGTTCACTTCGGCAAGGACTCACAATCTGATATCAACTGATTTGCAATATTGCACCCGAACATGTGTGCTTTCTTATCCTAGTGGGCAGCTCAACATCTCGTTTGCCGTTTGACTCTCATCCCCAATCTCCCCATGGGCACCTATCGCCGCTGTTGCTCGACAACAGCCCCAGCAGCATGCTGTTTCATCGAGCCCAAAATGCAAGGCCAAACAGGCATGCAATTCGTAGATATTCTCAATGCCAATGCTCACCGCTGGCACATGAATTCGGTGTTTGATCATTGGTTGCAGTCTGACAAACGTACCACATGAATTCGGCGAAGGATGTGGAGTAATACTTGACAAACACCCCTCTGCCACAAACATCCACAAACAGGCCGTGCCTCATTTTCTGAACTGTGTTGCAGTACAAGATGGAGTCTGACCTTGATGTCAAGCGACAAATTTCACTTACAAAACCCACCAACGAAGTCCAACAAAAAGACAATGGCTCGTGGGAAGACAATAATCCTCTGCACACACATATTTGTCCCCTTCTTTTTTCACTTCCATGTTGGTGAGTCAGAGTTTATCACTGATTTCTTTCTTGATAATGCATCGCAATGAAGAAGTAACACCGGTCTTGGGCAGCTTGAGGCCGTGGCACAATGTCAAACAGCATCATGAAGGGAAAAGCTATGGCCAAGGCCAGCAATGCCTCGCATGTCAAGCAGCCAGCACAGACTGGACAATGAACCAAAATGAACAACCGTGGCAATTTAGAACATGTGGCAGCTTCACTGCGAACAATAGTCGACATTGCCTCAGCTTGCATGAATGACTTGGTGCTCTGATAGTCCACACGCATGGTGCATTGGCAGCGCTCTTGAAGTGTGTTGTCACCTGGAACAACCATTCTGAGCATTTCTGAGCCATGTGCGCCAGCAACGCAAAGCAATTCAGGTTGCTGGACATAGTCAGGACTGGCCGCATCAATGCTTCTTGGAGCGGCTTGCATGCCAATAGTTTGATGATGCCTTGATTTTACCGAATCAGAGTGTCGAGAATGAGAATCGATCTGGCTATATAAGGCCCCCCTTATATAAGTGTCTCACCCGATTGGAAGTACCAACTCCAATTTAAGTCAATTTGACGTGAATCAAGTACAGCCAACTGACTTGCACAGTGGCAGTCCTTCGAAGGTTGTGAAAACGGTCAACAACCTGCCGAAACGTGCTCTTCAAATTTCACGGACTGAACCGTGTAGATAATCACATTGATTCACATTGACATGTTTCGCTGGAATGCTGTCGAAACATCCAAACCTTTGTTTTGCTCCTACCTGCTGGACTGCCAACAACAGAACATGTGAGACACGTGGCGCATTTATCATGGCGCGGACATCCATGGACTTCGCCGGCCAGCCGCCTGGATCTCCATGCCCATCGCCAAGTGGCCAATGGAAGCAATGGCAGCTGCGGAAGGAAGTGGAAGAAACGATCGGCATGAAGAAAATGCCGGGGGCGGGCTGGAACTCTATAAACTACAGTAACTACGACCTTACAAAAACTACAGTATGCGCATAAAACACGGAGCGCATTTATGAATGTGCATTCATAAAATATTTCTTTGCGTTATTATTGCAAGCCGCACCTTGCTTGACATGTGCAACAATATATCCATCAGTTGAATCAAGTTGTCAATGCGGATGCCCGACTCAAGACCTGCCTAGCCCAACGAGCTGAAAAAGCCATGTTGCCCCATTCAAGAGCGCCATTGCTGAAGCCTGCGCTTTGGCATTCGGACATGCAAACCGCCTCTGCATCTGGACTTTCTACGGTGGTCACCCACTGCCTCATGTTGCATTGCCAGGATGGCGTTGACGTGCTCAGATGCCTGAGGGCGTTAACGCAGCTAAACTCTCATCAAGCGGTAAGCAACACAGACTCGACTTCAAGACAAAACCTTACAATGTGAGCTGCAAACTGCAGCTGCTACAGCCCAGAAAGCAATGCCTAAACGGTATAAATCCCTGGAGATCCGTCCTGGCATGTTCTTGTTGGTCCAAGCCGTTTGCCAGAACAAATGACAAACAATCCTGCATGTGAGACTAAACACCCAACGCTTGGGCAGTCTGGAGGTCCGTTCGGCAGCTTTTTAGAGCTGAAACAGTGACTTGTGGAGGTTTAGAGGGGGGTGGAGGCCCTGCCTTGGCCATAAGAGCCGGAAATGACATTGGCAGCTCACCCATGATAAGCCCTATTGATCCTACTCTATTCTATGTATGTTCTATATTGTTCATAATTGTTGCATTCTAAAAGTGCTAATGGCTGTTTTGAGATGGGCCTCATTAAAGGCAGTTGCTTGCAGGCTCACATCCATGTAGGCATTCCTGCAACTGCGCATGAGTTGTCTTACCACAAAGTTCAACAATATGAGATGTCTGCTAAAGCTTTTGACGACGATTTGGAACAGGAGCAACCCTACCATTTAGAATCAACAAAACTGATTAAGGCAATTATTCAACAATTCTAAGTTCTACAGTAGCACACACACACAACACACAAACAGGCGTTTGTCTTGTTTTTTACTTCTGCTATGCATGTTCGGCTTTTCCTCTGGACATGAGGGCTGTTTCCTCCTCAAAGCATTCAGTGAACAATGGAACATACCTGCGCGTGGCCTGGACATCAGTGTGAAGAACCTTGCGACGCCACTGACATTTACGGACTGTTGTTGGTTCACGGTCCACGGAAGACAGCAAACATCAAGTGAACTCAAGTCTGCCAGAGATAAAGGATGAAATGGCCCGCCATGATGCAATTGGTACAAAATGGAATCAGTAGCTTGCAGCTTCCAGAAAACCGGTTGAATCAAGAAGCCCTCGTGTTGTTTCAACAAAACTGCACGCAACACGACACAACCCTGCACATCCACAAGGAGCTCAAGAAGGGTGCTCAAACAAGGAATGCATGCAAAAACATGCAAAAACTATCAGAAACTGCCGTGCAGCATGACCTTGGTCAATTGAACATTTTGAACCTGGCCTTTTGTAGCAGCCCAAACAAGTGTCGCAGCAGCCACTGATCACGTAGCTGACCGGGTTGTACTGCCAAGCTCGAGGTGCTGAGCTAAGCGACTGGTGGGCTCTACATGTTTTGGAACCCTAGAAAGCCCCTCTACTGCTGGGCCCGCAAATTTAAGGCAACGCTTTTGGGGACTCGTTTTTGTGGGCCGAAACCGATCCTGAAACCGTTTTTTCATGCATCCGTACATTGAAGATGGTTGAAGGATGTTGAATGCAAGAATCCTGCGATATTCTTTGGCTGATCTGCTGGTCTCTATATCTACCAAAGGTAGAACCATAACAACAAATTGACCATTAACAATGATTGAAGTCCAGTGTCCAGCTTAATTTCCTTAAATCAGAAGACCTGCAGCACTGTGCAAATGGACATTGCGCCTGGTTTTGGCTGGCCTCAAGTAGCCAACCCAAAGTAAGACGGAAGGGCAAAGCCTCAGGTCATGTGGCAGCTTGGCCACTTGCTAATCATACCACATGTTTGATAATCTTTGTATATAGATCTTTTGATTTTAGAATGTCGAGGGATCTGGAGAAAACCCGAGTTCAGCTTCTCGCCAGGACTTGCTTCAAGCCGCCGCCGATGAGACCTCATGCAAGGCCAAGCAAAGCGGCGTCTTTTGGGGTGCAAGAATAGATCTCCTCGCTTAGTACTTTGCATTTGGGGGACACCCTTATGGCCGGGCCCGATGGTGAGACGCGAGGGCGAGTCGTAGTATTTGTCCTCCCAGTGGAGGCGATCGAGTTGAATTGAGGACTCCAGGACATGTTGATATGTTCCAACAAGCATTTAGCGTGATGTCAGTCGAGTCCTATATTATACCAGCACGCCCTTAAATCATTAAATCACAATGAGCATCTTGCTTGTAGTGTCGTGATAGACATTTGTAGAGGCTCTTGCTGCCAAGTGACTCCCCAGGTGATACCTGATGCCCACGCAGCCTGCCCTCGGTGAACGAATGCAAGCGGGTGGAGGTGTTACGAGCCACCATTCGATCTAGCTGTAGCTAGTTAGTTACACACTAGCTGTAGCTTCTCCTGCAGAACCGTGACAGGCGACAATCAGCCTGAAGACAGACAGCACTGGAGCAGAGCCGGTGCCACCTTAGGTGAACTTCATTGGATCTTGGACGACGAAAAGGGTCCCGGCGCTTCGCCATAGAACGCATGGCTGTTAACTTAACTCTGTTCGGTAGTTGGCACTACAGTGGTGGGCAAGCATGTTTGTGAAACACATTCCAATCCTCCGTTCTTGGCGGAAAAAGTATATATATATATGTGATATATAATATACACAAACACAAGCACACACTATATTATACATAAATATAATATAAAATTATAGTGTCAATGTATATCCTCACTTGACCAAGCGTCGAATACCCCCAGAGAAGTACCACATCTGGCCTGAGCAATGTCCCCCATGAGATGCAAAGAAAAACAAGCAAACGGCATCCTCTTGAACTGTACAACATGACATGGATCACAGCTCATGTTGTTTGCTACAGTGTTCTATATAACATGTTTTGCTTCTCAAAGATTAGCAAAACATATTTGAAAGGGACATAAGGTACAGAAACTTGTGGCCTGAACTTATGATGCATTGGCAATAGCAACAGTATGTAGTAGCAGTAGCAGTAGGAGGAGTAGCAGCAGCAGCAGCAGCAGTAGTAGTAGTAAAAGTAGCAGTAGCAGTAGTAGCAGCAGCAGTAGTGGTAGTAGTAGTAGTTGTTGTTGTTGTAGTTGTAGTAGTAGTCGTAGTCGTAGACGTAGTCGTAGTAGTGGTAGTAGTGGTAGTAGTCGCAGTAGTCGCAGTAGTAGTAGTAGTAGCAGCAGTAGTAGTAGTAGTAATTGTCGTTGTTGTTGCTGCTGTTGTGGTAGTAGTAGTAGTTGTTGTTGTTGCTGCTGTTGTTGTTGTTGTGCTTGAACATCTGTCACACACACACACACGTTGAAACTCAGTCACCAGACTGGTGTAGAGCTGCACAAAATGGGTCCAGGCCGTAATCAAACCTGCAGTGACAACTTCAAGTCTGTCATGGGAGGAGTCCATACAAACACAGGGCAAAAGTGCAATCTTTAAGACTTTGAGACGTGGTCATCGCTATTAGGTTGGAGGCCCCGCTGCTAGGCTGGAGGCCATCGCTTTAGGCTGGAGGCCATCGCTATTAGGTCGGGCAGCACTTGGCAACTGAATGCGACTGAAGACCGGTCTTACAGGCTGCGCTACTAGCTGCACTCGAGCAAGCTGGATGTGACACGCAGGCCTTGAACCCAAAGGCCCATGAAGATGGTGCCAACTAAACACCTCAAATTGGTGCAAGCAAACAAAAGGTCAACTTGATACAAACAAATGCATCTGCCTAAATGACAAGTTTGGTACTACATCTTTCTGGAGCAGTGATATCCTCCCCAGTAGGGAACACAGGGTCACTTCGTCGAGCCTTCCTGATCTGACGGCTTGGCTTCGTCCAAGTTGAGCCAAGCTACACCCACTCTAGCGGCGAAAGATCTATAGCCTGCGCCATCCAATGAACATCCTGAGCTGTGGCAATTATGGGCTGAGCATGTTGGAAAGCCAGCCATCACATGTCTTTGTATTTTGGCAACATCTACAGGATGGCTTTCTTTGTGCAAGTTTGACAAGCAAATTTTGAGATCGTGACCGTAGAATACTCCGTTGACGAAGATTTTGTGGCCCAGCTGTACTTGCCAATGCCTTACGGGCAAATCTTGAAGCGGACACAAGCAACCGCTCCACCCTCTGCCACTCCAGCTGTACAATCAAAGTATATATGCCTATCTGTCTTCGAATCCTCACCTGTCTGAACAACCACAATGCCTCTGTAGTTAAACCCTGAAGGAAAAAAAAACTTCTGGCAGCTTCTCAAAGCTTGACCGCTGACCACCTGAACCCCTCTTCACATCTGAACCTCGGCCCGCCTTTGGATGCTAACATGAGGCACACCTGAGTGCGACAAGACGGTGTTCCAAGGCGTTAATCACCTCGCACTCTCTCCTGCACTTTCGCATCCGAAACACATTTGCATTTGCACCATGCTGCACCTTTCTACCGTCGTTTGTGAGGATCCTTAGAGTTTCACATCAAGTCAATCTGTCTTCCAAGCGCCCCTGCATAAATGAAGCCATAGAGACTAACACCTTGGCTTGGGAGCCCCCTAGACGGGATGGTGAAAAAAATGGACATTCTGCGATACCAACATATGCCAACCGTATATTTAGTAATGTAAACTACCAGAACTGCTACCAGAATATATAAATATAATATATATATATATTATCGATATATCAGATATTTTACTAACACGAGTCGACCATGGTTAAATCACTCACCTGGCTGATGGCACCTCGCAGTGCTAACGTCGTGGGCGGTAGCAACGACAAGCTGGGTGTCGCGAGGATGCACTTGCAGGACCTCACGGAAGAGCACTGAAACTCTCAACATCGGCTCAAACAGGTGCTGTACATCGGCTCGTTTGGCAATCAAACTGCACAAGATTGTCCTTCCAAACTGGAGCGAACAAGGAAGGACTCTTTTTTCAGCGAACAAGGAAGGGAGCAAGGGCCAAGGCCAGGAGATGCATTTCACCGCCTGCCAGTATCGAGCAGCAAAGGCTTCGGCTATGTCATGATGAGTTCAGGGTATGTCTCCACGTTGAACTGGAATTGAACGGTTGCAGCACTATGGAGCAAGCAAGGTCCATCAAGTTCTTAGGGCAATACGAATACTAACTAACTCACTGCTTGTAGGCGGCATGACTGCCGAGTGTGAATAAAAGGCTGTGCTACATGTTCCTTTTTGCCTCACGGGCTCTCCATGTACATGGCATGCTGGGAGCAACTGACAAGACCTAGCAGGAACCTCCGTTCGCACACTGACGTTCGCACCGTCTCCATCCATGCACTCATCTGACAACCAATCCATAGGAAAATAAACCTGCGCTGCGGCCACTTTATGTCACTATGTCACTGGATGCGTCCGAATTGGACTTGTCAGGTTGGAACGCAAGAACCGGCTTTCCAGACCCGCCAAAAGGGTCTGAATGCTCCGTGAATTTCTGAGTCCAAACGGAGCATCTCTCTGTCTCTGAGCGTCCGACCCTAGCACCAGCAGCGACCAGGCAGCTATTGACTCCTTCACAGTTGCGGCGACCAGCTAGTCGACCATAGCACACGGTCGGGCCAACAGGGAGTCATACAACGTCGCTCCTCTGCAGAAGCTCCTTCACTGATGCCGCAAAGATCCGTCCTGAACGGTTCTGGATTCAGTGGGATTGTGTGGGCGTTCTGTCAAAAGCCTTCAACCTCACTTACTTCCGCCTGCAAATTCAAACCATGGACATGCCGGTGCAGCCTCTAGAATCTAATACAATCTTGCAATGTCCTCTGCGCATCCTTCCGTGAGCACCTCGTGCCAAACGCGCAACGCAACTTTGAAAGGCAACAAGCTCAGCTGCTATGGCTCACAAGGACAGCTCAGGTTTCTGCAAACAAAACTCACACAATACCGCTGTGGGGAATCAACCCATGTATCACTTCATGCAGCACTTCATGCAACGCCTTCTCGTTTTGGCCGACCTGCGCCGCACGAATCGCTTTTCCACATCACTTGGCAACACACCCGGGTCACACCGGTCACCGATTCGATGGACCTATCGGGGCGTCTCAACAGCCCACGGAGGCAGGATGTGCCATTGCTCTGTCCTTGCCAGCTGCCGTCCCCTTTGCTGCACCAGCTGCCTTGTCCTTGTCCTTTCCAGCCGTCTTGCGCATCACTTTCTCGGACAAAAACTGCTTGAAAAGAGGGCTGTTGACATCGTAGATCATGGCTCTGATCTTGACACTAGGTCACGAAACGCGGGGAAACGAGAGCTTGAGCTTCCTTTGGGCCAAAGCACTGTTCTCGATCGATGAGGTCTGGAGAACCCTGACCCTTCAATCTTGAAACATCATCAAAGGTCACTCTAGTCTAGCTTCAATCCCTCCAATAGTTCCTGTCGCCTGAAACTAAGTGTGCAGAATCACGATATCCAACCTTGCTTTGGATAATTTGTATGCAGTACCAAGGATTCCGCCAGAACAGGTATGCTGAGCTTGCAAAGGATGCCGTCTGGACACGGTGGCAGGACACACAAAAAACGCACACAGTCACTACAAATCTAAATCCCATGCATTTCTGTATATGTCTGTTCCACAAGCAGCAGCAAAGGGGAAGAGAAAACATGAGAAAACCATCTTCAAACGAGATAAATTGGCCACCGCTTCGGTGGCTCATTATATAGCATTTGCTTGGACAAGCCGGCGACCATCAACATGTTGGGCTTTCCAGAAGAGGCGCTGGATATTTGGCAATCAATCCATCATGTAAGGTGCACCTGCATGCATACAAATTGTGAATGGCACAAGCCGGGCACACGACCACGATCAGGACGCCAGCCCTTAGCGGAAGATGGACACGACATGATAGTCCTCTAGACGCGCCCGTTGGTGGCTCATGATCAAGCCTTCCCGCACAACAAGCAACTGCATAATTGCATGTGAGAGCACAAAAACAATAATTCAAACACCCACTCTACAGGGCCATACATACCTAGTCCCTGTCTTACTGCAGAAAATTTCAGAAACATGCACTGCCATGTGAAGTTGCATACTGCACCTGCTTCAATGGAAGTTTGTGTGGAAGCTTGGTGGGAGGGGGAATGGATGCGATAGTCAGAGTGACCTGGGACTTGTTGTGAAAATAGAAGCTAAAACAAAGGAACATAAATCGGTGCTTGCGTCTCTTTTGTAAGGCCCCTGTACATGGGGCCCGACGAAAGGGACTCAAACCTTCTTATATATACTAGGTTCTAATGACTAAGGAGTTAACGGAGGTACGTCAAAATTAGAGCGTTCCAAGTCATCAGGCAAAGTAAATCTGGTAGAAAGCACGTTTGGCCTAAGTCATCAGGCACAATATTGCAAAACAGGACTTCTAGAGCAGGTTTGAAAAAAGAACTTAAAGCGATGAAAAACAAGGATTCCGGACAATGACAAAGGACCTGTGCTGGAAACCTGTGTTTGAAAACTGCCATAGGAACCAAGGGGTGTTGAAAAAGGTGCCAACTGCTCATGTCATGATGCATGTGATTTCTCTCTGACACATTGATTTCAGCATATTCAGCATATTCTATTTTTTTGTTTTATTTTTTGATTGCTCCCTCAGGGGGGGGTAAAGGCATATAGACACGCCTTGTGACCAGGCACATGACTCAGGAGTTGGCTATCCCAGCTGACTATGTCACTAGAACCGTAAGTCCTATGTCACTAGACCCCAGTATATCTTTTTTGTAGGCCCGATGAGAGAAGAAGAAACTCACCTCCGCCGCCGGAACTTCGCTCGTTTCACTCCGCTCCAGCTTTGGGACTGCAGAGTGCGGTGGTGCTCCGCTGCACGAAGTATTGAAAATGCCAGACTCCAAGAGCCAAGGAAGTTTGTCTCAAACATGGCAACCATTTGATCAAAACTTATCCAAGGTATGGTTGATGTCCAGTATTTCCTTGAGTTTCCAGGTTTTTGAGACAAATCCATCTGTTTTGTCACCGATGTTTCAACGGAGGCAGCCCTTCGATTGGCACTTGTGGCTCAGGGGCCTGCACAAACATCGCTCAGCTAAGACGCCTGAATGCATGCACGCATTGTGCCCCGTGCTGGCTGGGTGCTTGCGGGGGTCCTTTCTTAGCCTACGCAAGAGGGGAGCAAAACAAACAGCGCCAATTCTCCGTCCATGGGGGGGGCAATGGTGGCCTTGCTGCGGCAAAACAACCTTCGAATGCTCCAGGGCCAGGCCCAATACACACTACCTTCACTTCGAAGCAGTTCCGTTTCAACAGTGTCTCATGAAAACAAATACGTTCCAGGAAAGAAAGTACAATGGCAGCAACCATAAGTGCGACAACAAACGACTTGCAATTCTGGTTGAATATGATTACACAAGGCACTTGAGATCCCGCAGGATCTTTCACAGGCATACCAAGGTCTGCCCCAATTGCACTGTGCTTGGTGCCCTGTCACTACAGCACCCAGTCAACGGAAGCCCAACAGTACAAGGCTTTGTGGACAATCTTGCCGGCAAGAATCGTGAAATGTCCATGCCGCCTCTTCTTCCTGAATTCATGGTCAGTTAGCGCGGGCAACCACCATGAGATTGTCTAAGATATCTTTTTAACTTTATTTTGCCTGGGAATCGACCTCCATTTGATCCACGTGTTATGGGTCTGGGCTCCGATGGGCTCCGAGAGGATCCCGGCACAACGTCTGCCCTCGTGTGGGTTGACGAACGGCAACTTGCGGACAGGTCACCACGGCAACAGGAAATAGTGCAGGGAAGGGCTCGAAAAGGAAGCTCAGAAACGGCAGCTGAGCCTCGAAAGGGCCCCTCAAATCATCTGCAGTATTCTGCAGTATGTTTAAAATAACCACAGTAGACTTTGTAGCGATAAGACTGCGTCGACCCAAAACAGTATTTTGACCCTGACTTCGGCGAATCGCGTCTGGGGTTTCGACCACTGGGTGGCCCTCGACGCAAAACCGATCAAACTTGAGGCCAGGGGGAGGAGGTCGAAAGCTAGCCGAATCGCACCGGATGTACTAGTGCCGGAACGAGGGGTAAGCATCACAAGGACTGTGCATACACTAGGGCGTCCGTAGTGTAGGATAAGCACTAAGCACTGGTAAAAGGTATCAAGAATAGAGAGTCTTGAGGAAATAGCCAGTGTATGGTTATAGCAAGCCTGGGGGGTAAATTTACCACCCGCTTATGCATGCATTAGGTTAGAAATAGGGGTAAACAACTTGTAACGGTGAAGTACAAGTCCTATGCAGCAAGCAGAAGCCAGCAGCAGCAGCAGCAGCCGCCTGCAGCCAGCAGCCAGCAGCAACCGCCAACCAGCAGCCAGCCAGCAGCACCACGCAGCAGCAGCGCAGCATCAAGCCGCAGCAGCAGCAGCACCACCGGCAGCAAGCAGCAAGCAGCAGCAGCAAGCAGCAAGCAGCAAGCAGCAGCAGCAGCAGCGGCGTCGTCAGCAACAGCAGCAGCAGCACCAAGCCGCAACAAGTAGCAAAGCAGCAGCTACAAAAGCGGCAACCAGCGGCAGCAGCAGCAAGCAGCAGAGCGGCAGCAGCAGCACCGTTTACACCAAGCCACCGTTTACACCCAGCCAACCACGTTCACACGTTCAACCAACCCCCTACACGGCGCGCAGCTGGGAGTCGAACCGTGGGGGGGGGGGTTGTAGGGTGATATATCACGCTAAGGGGGGGGGGCCTGGCCCCCCCCTTAGTGTGATATATCAAGTTTTAAGGCACACAGCTCATCCCACTACCAATTGCTAAAGCAAAGAAGAACTCAGCTAGCATGCTAGCTTTCGTGACATTTGGCCCCGTGATTTTTTTCTGCACACGGGCATGCCGCATGCCTCGATAAAGCTCGCTACCCGTTAAAGAGCATAGTGAAGGTGATAGATTGAACAAACATTGACGAAGATTCGGGTTGAAACGAGACCTAGAATGCCAGGCCCATTGACCATGGCCAAAGCGGCCAACGCAAGAGCACATACCAAACCCGAACAGGATAAGACAAACGAATGCCACCAACGAAGCCGGACAAGAATCCAAAAACCAAAGTCCTAAAGCAAGGAAATCCTTTTGTAAGGATAGATCCGCAGCGCGCAAGCTTTAAGAACAGAGGTGAACATAACACGGAAATGGCACACTGCTTTGTCAAAAGAACCATTCGAAATCAACCACTCAACATCACTGCTCTGAGTGCAAAAGTCTAGGAACACCAATACCCATGGGACTCGCGAACATTATTTGTGTGGTCCAAAACCAATAAAAAACGTTCCAAGTATAACGTGATTGAATGCAGAACCTTGTTAGTCATAGACCGGTGATGAAACGTTTTGGGAGCTATGTTTGGGACTATGGAGGCTGATGCAAGCCGTGGTGGGTCCTTGGCCCCCCCAATTTATTAGAACATTTTTTTCAAGCGAAACCGACGCCGGGGTCTGAAGGAGGGCACTGCGTGGAGCCGCTGATGGCCAGCAGGAATATCACACTATTCTTCGCCGCTGCGTTTGAAAGGTGCATGTTTGCTTCAACCATGACGAGTCCATAGTGAAGCAATCGTACACTTGCAACTGGCTTGGTGGATGCGCCAACGAGCCCAGAGATGTATATGCCAATTCAATATACAGTAATCTGATATAGCTGCATCATTATAACTTGAAGGCCGCGGGGTGGGACAAGGGTCAAGCGAGATGAGGGAGTCTATCTAGCTTAGGACTCTTGTTCAATTGCAGCTTCATTATTGTTGCACCGAGCGGGGCATCAATAAAACAAGGTGGTAACATATATAACATGTGGTATCTACGGCGGCTACAAATCAACAAATCAAGCGTATTCTAGAGACGCCATTGGTGTGTTATTCTAAAAAGCGGCAGCGCTCTTATTTGTACCACAAAATGCGTCATTTCTTCTTATAAGGCATCATTTTTCCCTCCAAGCACTTCGATCCCCGAACCAGTTCCTGACGAACAACAAAAATAGTCAAGCGTGACTCAAACTGGATTATTATATAGGTGGTCTAGGAGTGGGGCCTCTTAAAGGATTCGATTCGAACTTCTGACCTTCCCAGTCACAATACTTCTGACCTCGCCAGTCGCGATTGAAGGCCGGACATTGTGGAAAGGTGGTCAGCCAAAAGTGCTGGTACAAAGTTAGTGCATGTTAGTGCATCAAAAATACCTTCCACGAAGTTCTGCAAAGGTTTCTGGGTGTTTGTTACGTTTAGTAGTTTTCCTACTGGCCTACCATTCCAGGAAACGTCCACGAACAGCCCCGGGTTCCACGAATGCCCTGGGCCTTCCACAAAGTTAGTAGAATAGATTTTTGCAATCCCCTTTCTGTGCACCCGTTTGCCTCTAAACAACTGCTGCAATTAAAGCAAAGAAAACTCAGGTAGCTCAGGCGACCTTTCTTAATGGGACGTGTTGTCTTTGGGCATCATTCAATGCCATTGTGACAAAAGAGTTCTCGATTGAGTGCCCATTCTGCTAACATACATGGCTGTGAGTCGCGTAGTTGGCTCGTGCTTGTGGGGGAGCATGAAAAACAAAACAGCTCAAAAAGCTTACTGGAACAATTAGGCTTTGATGCAGTCCACACACATGTCACATTTAAATATAAGCATACATACCTTGCCGAGAAGCTCTTTTCGGCGTGTGTATCTCCTGAGAGACCTGGGCAACATTTCTAGTACACCGGGCAAGTTTCTGAAAAAACACAACCAAATGTGTCATGAACCAACTCATGTGCACCTTTGCGGTTCAGGTCTGGTGCAAATTTGTCAGGAAAAGACTAGCGTGGCACTTGTTCATAGTAGCTTCTTGTTACTACTAGTAAGGCACTTGTTACTACTAGCGTGGCACTTGTTCCTAGTCTTGCAAATAGTTTCCATTGCATGTCAAGTGCTTGAACCTGCCTGTCCCTCTGGCAAACAATGTCCATCCAAGTTGCCCAAGAGCCGTCGTCCAAGCGTCGACATGCTTCCCAATAGTAGTTTCCGATGAAGAACGCAGTGACAGCAAGTAGGAACAATAGCCGTGCCGGGATGATGATACCTCATAATTACTCATCCGACTCATCCAAAGTCAAATCAAAGTAGGCGCCCTTGGCCGTCTAACTTGACCAAACATGCATGCAATTGAACTGTGCCGTTGAGCATCCATAGAAGCCCGGTGAAAGCACATTCCTTATGCTTTCCAACGCGTGAAGGCGCATGAAAAACTGTGAACCTAGGCCTAGACATTCGTGGGGGGTCCATTGCTCAATAGATGTATAGATATAATGATAGATATTAAAAACGGTATAATGTATATAACAGTATACATACATATACATACCGTGCGCTGAATGGAAGCACCAGCAGTCAGCAGGGACTTCTAATATTTTAAAGCTTTACAGCTTTACTGTATGTTTCCAGGGTTTGCCGTGCGTCCATTTCTTGTCTTGCTGGTGCAGGATTGCATCTTCCGCCAGAGTCAGCCTTCGTCGCGTGCTAAACTGGCCACCCTCAATCATTTCCTGATCACGACCACGAAAGCCAAAAGGATTTCCGTTAGGAGATCTGCCAACAATTTGCGTGATTCTTGTGTTTATTCTTGCGTCTCACTGATTGCATTCAAGCCACCAGCATCTCTTTGGTCTTGCCCGGCAGCATTGTCATCCTGCTTCATCCCGGGGAAAACGCGGATGAACACTCCAAACAGCTTTAATCATTGATCCTGCAATAGCAATCACAACTTAGCCTTCCAACTCGTCATGGGTCATTTATTACAAGCACTTTGCTCGACTTTTTTCCCTGAGCCAAGAAGGTCTGGTATCGGTGTTCATGGGAAAAGGCTTCCCCCAAAAAGGGTTATAAACATCACATAGCTGAGCGTCGTCAACTCGTCGATGCTCAGAATGAAGGCAAGCGCAACGCAGTTGACAATCATATCCTGCAGGCAAGTAGCAATCGCATACAACTCTGTCATCAAAGCCGAAACAAGTTTCCCCTCTGCGAGTAGAAAGAAGGCACTAGCAACAAGTGCATCCCTATGAGTAACAAGGGCATTACTACCAGTAGCTAGAAGCTACTAGGTTGGAGGCCATCGCTACTAGGATGGCTATTAGGTCGGAGGCCATCGGTACTAGTAGCTTAGTAGCAGTTTGGCCAGGTGAGAGTGTTCGAGTTCCGCAGCTTTCACGACGGGAGAGGACTTATTTCAGCAACTGAAAGGTTTTGCTTTCAGCTTCACTTTCACTTTCGGACTGTCTCTCTTGGATTCTTTTCTTTTCCTGACTACCTTAGCTTTATGGCCCTATAGGGCAAATTAGCTCTTGGGAGATGGCCCTTCATTATCCTCGATCTGAGAAGTCTCCATCAAGAAGACAATGCCAACGTCAACAGTGAGAAACCAAATGTACCTGTCCATGAAAACAGTGCGAACTATGTGCATGTTTGGGATGATGCTTACAGTGCCGGGTAAGGAACACACACAAACACCAACACGAAAAATAAAGTAAGGGCCTCCTTTTGTGTCTTGTTGTTTGTTAAATGTTCCTCTTACCCTTGTCAGCAGGAACGAGAAAAAAGCATTTGCTGCTACTTGGCAAAACTTGTTCAGTTTGATAATCATCATCCCTGGAATGCAATGCTCTTCCTATGCTGGCCCTCGACCAACAAAGTACCAACAACCCTTTTTTTCCCAGAACTAAGTCGCAGTGTTCTTGCATGTGCTTGGTATCATGATGTATCATGTATGTCACCCACATGCACTGCCGCAAGGCCAAGCCACAACTTTGGCACAAGGATCAAAAACAAATCAATGATTTTCCTCGGCAAAATAGTTTGGTCACTGCAAACTGCAAATTACTCAAAAGAATCAGTTACTCTCTGGGTCGTCAAAGGCATTGGCACAAATGACCCCTTGGTGGTTCCACTGAATCATCCTCACCCACTCGCAAAATGTTTTGCTGTGCTACCAAGGGTCCAATGTAAAGGTACACCAGCAACTCCTTAGAAGCGTCAGCCATGCAAAACCCAAGAAACCAATAACTCCCAACCGTTTCGATTAATTGCCTGGACATAGGCCAGCCTGGCTTCCCTCGACGTTGTTCCCCTCCGAGTCGCTGAAGCGAACAAATTCCAAAGCAAGATCATCCGTGCCAGCTTGCTTTTCGACAATCTCCTGGATGAGATGGCACGAGTGTCCGACGATTCCGACTTTTCTCAGCAAGGGCAAGAGAAGCGCGGTTTGAAGTTCAAAAAGTAACTTCCTAAAATGTTCCTAAGATAGGCAGTCGTACATGTCGTATGAAGGAGAACATTCATTACCAGTTTAGAATCGCCAACTTTGGGATGTGAGGTCCATGTCAGTCCTGCCACCCGGACCGTTCAACGATCCACGGCTCGGGTTGCGTTGGGACGCTGGCGAGCAAGGTCAAAATGTCCTGAGATATTATGGGGGATGGACCACCTCAACACCATAGAATGGCATCGGTTGCCTGACGACTGTTTTTTAATGAATAAGCAAGTGCCCCCATATTGAGATGTAAAGCCAGTCTGGTCTGTAGGATCATTCTTGATTCAAGAGTCAACATCGGTTACGGCTTTATAGCACGATATACTGTAAGTTTAATTACTGTAATTAATTGCTATAGCGACGGTGTCATCACCAGCAAGAACCACAACTACACACATATCACTATATATATATTACTATTTACTATTTCTCTTAGCACCTGCTGAAGAATTCAGGCTCTTCTCAATTAATGAAGCAGCCAATGCATGCCACCGCCATGCCGGAGGCAAATCCTTGGATTGGCGAAAAAAAACCGAGTTATGCAAGGAAGTAATGCTGTGTACCTCCATATTTGCTCAGTCTTAGGTCGAGTTTATAGGCTAAAATATAATGAAACCTCTCAACTTTTGTCTGCTATCTTTCAGATTTACTAGCCAGGGGAGAGGTGCCCCCGTTCTTTGTATAGGAGGGGTCACATGGTCACATGCTCAATGCTCGGGCAAGTATAAGTAAAACATACTAACCCAAAGTCCTGAGCTTTCTCAACCAAAGCCAGCGGGGTGAACGGTTGCTGTTAGTAAGTGGGACGTCCAACTTCTCTTCCGGAAGACTTGAAACTTCCTCACCTGCCAAAAGAAGAGGTGTCCACAACCAATCTACTGCATCCTGCCAAATACATCAGTACTTTTTGGCATCATGGTCATAAAGGGCTGCAGCCCCGTGAGCTGCTGCCCATATAGACCACCATGACAAGGTCAAACTTTCAATCGGTTCCAATCAGCACATTTACAGCGCTCACAGCCACACACACATTCAGGCGGTCATGCTTGAGCGTGTAAGAGTGTGCAGTATCTTCATGTATCCTCTAAACACGCAACAGGAACATAACGAAAAACTCATCCTTTTCAAAACTGCGATGAAGGGCATCGTCCAATTGCATTCGTGCAAGAATGGATTGGGATGTGCTGGACTTGTTGGTCTAACCGACTTGAAAGCCGGTGGGCTTAGTCCCCTTGGCTGTCCAACTCCCCGACACATCTGCTTTGCAGACTGGAAAAACACCCCCAAACCCTTCGAATTGCTTTGCTATCATCCAATTTGTGATGTTTAAATGGAGCTTGCTGCTTCCAAAAGAAGCACAAGGCTCAAAACCTATGCGCCCAGGAATCCTGCGGTGACTTCTTAAGAAGGTCCTGGCCAACATTTGCACAAACATGAGGTGAAAGGAGCTTGCATTCTCACTCCTGAAATTTCTGCACAGTGTCTACAGAAATTGGGCATTGCGGCATACTATACGACATGCTACAACTTTAGGACAATCCGTGTCCACCTGCGGTGCCTATGCGGTGCCTTCTTCTGAGCTCCCGGCTGCTTTCCCCGGGTCACGGGTCCGCCCCAGGAGCTTCACATCTTCACTGGCGGAGTCACGCATCATGGCCTCATCTCCCCAGTCATTGCGTTCTGTCCAACGAGTAGATTGTCATGTCGACTGACCGCAGCATGATGGAACACTAAGAACATGTTCAAAGACCAAGTTCAAGTAGACCTTCTTCAATGGTTGCTAGATCTTTTCAAGGACATGGTTACTTTGAAGAGATCATGGCCTTGAACTCCTCAAAGTCGATGTTGCCATCACCATCCTTGTCGGAAGACATCACCTCTTGCAGCTTGCCAGTTTGCTGGTCTCTGTAGAAACACTATGAAGCATAGCTCAATTATCGTTGTTACGTTAATACACATATATGTATTATATTTATATATAGCATTACATAAGTACAGTACACGCATAGTATGTATATATATATATGTGTGTGTGTATGTATGACTATGTATATATATATATGCATATTACAGTTTTTTAGTATATATAGTATTACACGGTCAACATCCACACTTTTGTGGCACCCTTGCCGCACTTCAAGCAAGAACATGTATATACAGCATCGACTCGAGCCTCCTCAATCGCAGGGAACAGGTTGAAGTCCAAATCCTGGCCAGCTAAATTACTGACACAAAAATTAGGCAACACCAAAATGAGAGCAACTTTCCTCTAAACAAACCCGTCCATCGTCCCAGAGATTGCCATTGTGAGGCACAGCATGGCACATCACTGCGCGGACGATTCCCGGCAGTTGACTTGTCCCCTGTTTCTCTTTCGGGCCATTCCGTTCCCAGAAGCGGATTGAGAGGTCAGCGCTGCCTTCCTACTGCAAGCGTCTCCTTGAGCAGTTTCCCGTCTCGTCTCCCGCATGCCTTGAATGTTTTGGACTTCAGGGCTTGCTGCAGCTCATGTCTGTTGATGTGGCCGTCTCCATTGGTGTCAAAAATCTGGAACACGGCCTCGAAGCGACTGACAAGTCAAGCGACTTGGAAGCATGCCACCTCCCGGCGGTTTATAGTTGGCCCTCATGCAGCATAGGGCAGCTTTGTCCCAACATTCTTGCCATGGGGCTTACCACAAGGCTCAGCAACTCGAAACCCTCGTAGAGCTGGTTAAGGCGAGGTACCAGGCAAGTGGCATCAGTGGTGTAATGCTTCCTATCCTCGGGCGACATTCGCATGGACTCACGGGCCCCCAGACTGACACTCTGACTGCCCGAAGACTACTTAAAACGAACAGGGGCTTTCCACTGTCTTGTTGGTGAGTCGGAGGGTATACCATCTTATACCTGCCACTCAGCTGACTCAGCACTACTAAACTACAAGCGGCACCCAGTACAAAACCTAGAGTCTTGAGCCGGCTCGACAGTTGGGCCTCAATTTGAGCAGCCTAACATCCATCGAGAGGTGCCAATGCAGCACTCAGGTGCGAACAGTCATAGCAGCGATGAATTCAGGATATGAAATGGTGGCGCTGCCATCCACGTCCAAAAGGTCCATCAGCCTGCGAAGAAAACATCAAGCATCCGACATCCAAGTATCCGACCAAGGGGGCCCCCAACATGTACTATAGCAATCTCTAGCATCTATCAACTCCAGCAAGTTGCCACCAGCAAAGGTCAGGGGCCCAACACATCCCAACACAATCCACAAGTTTCTAGTCACGCTTCCATGGCCCAATCCTCTCTGAAAGACTCCGGACATGGGCGGTTTTGATCTCCTGTACCCCAAACCCGTCCTTTCGACGTCTTGAGGAATGGCCGCACGTGCACGATAGCCACCATGGCACATCCTGTAGAATCTGAAGATGCTGCAGGGATGAAGCTGACCAAACACTGGTAGCCCACAGCCAACTGCGACCAACGGTTTGTTTTATCTTGATACATCTGGGAAAACTTGGCTACAACTGTCACCTTTTTCTTGCAGCCGTTGCTTGCAGTCAAGAATCAACTCCTGCATCGCCTTTTTCAGCTCAGCAAGGCTAACCTTAACAACTCAAGTTTATAACAAAACGATAACAATATCAACATGCTTATTGAGGCCTATTATATAGAGAAACAAAACTGCCATTCGATATACTACTGCAAAACAATAAAGAAGAGCCACAAGTTCCGACACAAGCAACCTGTCCGCTATTGTCAGCATCGACCAGCTCAAACATGTCCTTGGCTGTCCACGCTGCGTCTGGTGAACATGTCTAAATGTCACAACCTGAAGCAAAAACCAGTGGTAATACCGCAGCAAAACCAGAAGTCTGGAAAACAAACACCAGCAGCAAAACCAGTGGTTCAACCTTCACCACACGAGCTCCCAAAATGAGAGAGCTCGTGTCAACGAGACATCAGCAAACCCTACAATGCGCTTCAAGTGTGTTCAAATCCCCACCCCAAAAAAGCGGCACACACGTTTCTTCATGCTCCAAAAAAGCGTCTCAGCAAACTCTGGAGGTGCCCAAAGTTCAGAGGTTTGACTGGCACGCCAAGCATCTTTCATCCGAAGCACTTCAGGGCCACTCAAGTGCGAAGCGGAGACGTGGATGGCCAACTTCTTGAGCTTGTTGGCTCTGCAATATCTTTGCCTGAGTAGAGCTAGGTCCAGTAAACAAAACTTATCTTGATGCTTGCTATCTTGGGGCGTTCACTACAGGCAGTGGAGCAGAACACCATTCCTTTCGTCACAAGCAACCGTCCCAAAAAGCAGATCAACACCTTGAAGGTTGACGCGTCGGGAAAAGGGCTAGCCTTCTCTTGACCAGGCTTGCCCACAAACGTCCTTCCTGCCACTGAAGGACTGGGTTGTGGCTTGGATTTGACGCCACCCTACAATTGCAATCCATCGCTTGCACCTTTTATATATGCCTGGTCACCTACTTGTCGCTAAGTGTCCTGAACTAGGACATTGTTGTTCCTGGCCCTTTGTCTCAGTAGGCTGAATGCAGCTTGGATGCATATTTTCAAGATGTCGAGCTGAAATCTCCTTCAAGCAAACACGTGCTATATATATATATATATAACATAATATAGTATAATATAATATATTAATATATATATATATTAGCGAGCTGCAGCTGCAGTTCTCGACCGGTATCCACGACCATGCATCATTCCCAGGCCTCTCCACGACCAATATCCTCCATGGTCTTAAAGAAGGGATCTTCCAAACACTCGGCTGAAGTGGGGCGAGCAGCCTCTGAAGTCATCATCCTGCGATGCAATGCCCAGCCCCACTGATCTCTCCGCTCTCTGCTCTCAGAATAACACTGGTTTGACATGTCCATAGAAAACTCCTCCTCCCATCTGTTAAAATCATGGCCAAAATTGCAACACTGTGGATTTGGATATATAAACATTTGCCACAAACTGCATGACTACTGCTGAAATGCGTCGCTATGGTATCATCAATACTTGAGGAGGGGTGAACGAAAGGTAGGGAGGACACATGGAAGAGGGAGACTGCTCCTGGACGAGCAAGGCCTCTAAGATTACTTGACTCATCTTTGGGTTGATCTAATTCCATGCGGGGGTGAGCGAGTTTATTTGATCTGTGGAGTGCTCGCATGTGCTCATGAACGAAACTGACACAATCAAACAGAATATAACAGAATCACTATCAAGGACTTTCAACGATGCAGCGCCCCGTGCTACGCGAGGGGCCTAACGTCAGGCCGCTATTTCTCGACCTTTCGTGATCTCAACTGTTCCAGCCTGAAGACCAATGTCTGTGCTGTGCTCAAGGATTTCCTCCGCGCAATGCGACATCAATTTCTCAATTTTGATGTGAACCATTGTGAACCTGATGTCCTCCACGTCCCCGCTTCAGGATTTGGATTGCCAAACAGCAGCGCACATAGAATGGCGCCACCTCAGCACCATCAGCTCGATTAAGGCGGAGATGCCAATCATTAAGTTACAGAACTGACACGACTGGAAAAAGCAACACCTGTTTTGTTTTGGAAAGGTGAACTCCCCCACAGACCAGTCACAGGAGTAGATGTCGCAGGCCTGGGTGTAGCCGGACCCTGCAGCCATCTCCTCAAGGAATAAGACATGTGATATGCAACCTGGCATTACCACTAGTAGCTAGAAGCTAGTAGGTTGGAGGCCATCGCTACTAGGGTGGAGGCCATCGCTACTAGGAGCAAGAAGCTAATAGTAACAAAATGGCTTATGCATTGAGTCGGTGGCAGCCCGACACACTAGATCTTTCAGCAAATTGCTCCTTCCCGTGTCATTGCATTTACTTTATATACAACCCCTCATTGGCGGCAATGTCTGCAGTGCCCCCTAAGAATTGGTGTGGAAGAGATGATAAGCGTTTTGTGCACCAGTGGGAGGTTCTGCTGCAACTCTGGTGTCTGTTCGTGCACTTCAAAAGCATCAAAAACCAATATATACATCCGATACGATTAAAGTAAGCCAGTCGAACTCGTCCCACCACACTTGTTGCTTCTGTTTCTCCGTTCTTGCATGTTCTTTCTGCTGTGAGGGAGGACTGGCTGCACCATGGATTCCACCCAAGCCACTCACTTGCGGGCGTATTGCAACACATTACAACTGCGTTCTGAGTACTGGGCATCCGCCAACAAGCCAAGCGTCGGGCGACCGGAAGCCTCCCAGCTACAATGTCACCAGCTCGCAATCAACTTGAGCATTTTTATGGGCTCTGCGGCTCTGCTAGGCTCTGTTGAAGACACAATCCCCCCACAGGTTCACCAAGTGGGCTCTTTCAGTGAGCCCAACACAAGGACTGCAAAGCATTTCACGTCGCCAGCAAAACGCGCGCCTTCTTTAGAGTTGACCTTCTCGGTCATGCGTTTGTTCTTGGTGAAATGGCAGGCATGGGCAAAATCGTGAACCACCACCTGCCACTTCTGGAGGTCATCATCCTGTCAGTTGGCTGAAGGCCAACATGTCCACGCTCTCAAAATGCTGCAGTGCTATCAGAGGCCAAAAATATCAAACGTTCAGTCCAACTTGCTGCTGTGAAAATAAAAGTCAACAGCCGAATCATTTAACATGGGCTCCTTGGAATGCAGGAGTGCGGCATCCGTGCTCAGGTTCCGGTGACAAATGCCCTTCTGATGCATATACTCCACCGCCTTCAGAACTTGAAAGCTGGCACATGTCGCAACCTTAGTCATGGATACACCATGATACACTCGCATCACGCGAATATTGCAGTACATAAGAACCAAAACCATCCCAAACATGTCAGCTCAATCAATCAGCCGTTGAACTTGTCACTAAGGCCGAAGAGCCAGAACAGCATCCGCTGGCTGACGCATGCAACGCTCCTCAACTGCCTCCATCAACCCGCCACCAATGCAAAACTCAAATGCCAGGTAGTACGAGGCTTCATCCTCGCAAACCTCTCAAGAGTAGCACCGAGTATTGGTGGGCATCTGTCAAATTCTGTCAACAGCAATTCGGATTTATGTCAAGCTCATGAACTAACCGCCAATTTCATTGGTTTAGTATTGTTTAGTCAGTACGTATCTGCTGTGCACCTAGGGTCCGCGCAAGAAAACACGACACACCCCTTGAGACCTGCCTCCTTGAGCCTGGTGATGTTGGGATGTCCAAGGCTCCTTTCATGGTGAGGATGGTATGTCTTCATGAGACGGTGCGTTCTCCCGTGCTCGTCTCGTCGTGGCTCTTCAGGAGCCACAAGATCCAGCGAGTGGTCATCCGAGTGATTTTCACTACAACTCACAGCGTTTTGATATGCACATGAAAAAAGACGTGAACGGTCACCAACTGACATCTAAGTTTTTGTGCTTGAAGGAATGAGCAGAATGAGCCATGACGACATGAGCATCGGATGCTTCGGAAGAAGCCATCACGCCTGAGGATGGACATATGCTTCTCCAAGCCATCCTGAGCCCGAGGAGATTTTGTGTTTTTTTCTTCGGAGGCGTTTTGATGTGGAGAAAGGCCTCTTGCAATTCTCTGAAAGCAGGATAGTCTTCTCTCAAAATTTCAGCTCCAATACCCAAATGTCAAATGTCTATTTAGTTTAAAAGAGTCCAAGTGGCGCGTGATGTCGATGCTTTTCCAATAGGCCTTTCAAACTGTGGCATCTACTTGCCACAGGAAAGCCAGCTTCCCAAACATATTATTGGGTGGATGCCATAAGTCTGAAATTCCGCAGTTGAAAAGGATTCGTTGCTGCACTGGCTGTACAACACGTATCATTGCATCACATCTCAATTCTTCAGTCGAAGTGTGTCTGCCCTAGAATCGGCACAGGTCTTCAGCCCAGTGTCTCAATCGCAGCCACTTGCTTGGTCACACGTTGATGAGCTATAATAAAGCGACCAAAGTCACCGTGCTTCAAGCCTTGCTGCGTGCACGGATGGAGAGGGCAATCCATCTATAGTATAAATATCTAAGTCTCCAACTCAAAGCATCATCTGGCTCGAAGAATAATGAAAAGTCCCCCTCACCTGAGCATGACTCTGAAATGTCCTGAGACTCAAAAGTGTCTGCAGAACAATTGTGAAGAAAACACATTAAAAAAAAGAAACACACGCACATGATTTTTGAGGGGGCTGGGTGGGGAGAACTTCTTCTATCGACAACACACGAGAGAGGTCATTTGGATAATATCTTTTCGTAGATAAGTGGCCCAAACGATTCTCCACAAAGTAGCCAGTGGAGAGAGACTGAATCTGGTGCTCTTGGCTGGTGTACTTGCCTGACAACTCCCATCTCCATGGGTCCCAAACTCGCACGGTCTGAGAGGTCACTGCCAGCCTTGTGTGTGCGTCGCTTGTGAGGCCCCACATCCCATAGCTGTCCCGCTTCAGTTCATGGGAAACTGCCGCTTCGAAAAATGGCCACGGCCATGCACGGCCGCAGCTTGTTTCTTTTTTTTGGTGTGTGGTCAGCTGGACAATCCGACGGAGTAGGTGTAGAAGCACTGATGCCCGGTACATGTTGTAATGTCGGTACTAACGTCAGAGCAATGCAGTGAACTTGCTCAAAGGATCTCAAAGGTTTTGAATCAGCGACAGGTGAGGATCATTGCCATCCCTTACGCGCGCTGATATGCACTGGCATGTTGCATCCATTCATTGCAAGTTTTAACTGAGCCAAGTGCCACACATGACAATTCACCGAAGGGCCAAGGCACATGCTCAAATGACACTTTACCGTTTATGTTGTTTGAAGATTTGGGTGGGCTTATAATATATTATATATATATGTTCAATTCTGCCATCCTCTGCCCCTCTCAACTTCTCAATGCAGGCAAGCCTCATCGGGATGATGACTCCAAAAGAGGTCCAGAGTAGCTCATCTGAAATTGCCAAGCCCACCGTCCTTGAGTGCCTTCAACCCTTCGTCCTTCCCAGAGACTCAGATTGCATGTTTGAAATGCTGCGGTCGACTGTATTCGCCAAGATTCCCAGGACCCTGCTAAATCAGGCCAAAGGCCAATGACGTACAGAAAGCAGCAAACAATCCGAAGGTAGTAGCCTTGGTGCCAGGGCTATTTGGACGTGGTCTTGACAAAATCTTGTCCAAATGTAGACCTTGCCAATTCTCAAGAATATCAGCTGGGTGACTTTCAAGCCCATACTCTCCAGGATCAATCTGTGCCTGCTTCAACCCATGGAATGTCCGTCAATCTTTGACACGGAACTCGTGAGCAGCCACAGCGAATTTTTGCGCGCTCTCTAAACTCCCGACGAAAAACTGTTCGAAGAGAAACATAGAGTGCAATCCTTGTGCTCGATGTCTGAGGTATCTATGACCTGCATGCTCCTGCTACAATCTCCCATATTGTGACCTATGTTTGGTTACATCCTTTTTACATCGGGCCTCAATTTCGTCCACTCGGTCCTTGCATCAACGCAGGGCACAAGTTTTGGCAGTCCAAAGGCATTTCCAAAGACTTGATTCAGGCAGGGCTTCCAGTAAACCTGCTTCCAAGATTCAGGGAAGAGAGTCTTGAACGAATCCCGCACAAAAATCCGCGTGGTCCACACTCCCCAGTTGTACATCCTTGCCTGAGAAGCATGCTGCCTTGACACGAAACAAAACTCACACCTGCTGCGCGCATGACGCACAGAAAGCCGACGTCAACAATCATCAACACGATACATCACGCATCATTGCGCATTGTTCCATCAGCCGGTCTTCTACACAATGGCCGGAGCCAAATCCACCTGCACAAACTAACACTTTAGCTTCTGCCAAGACTCTGGGGAATACACAGTCCCCGCTGGACCAATGCAGTTTGGAGCATCTGGGCAACTGTTACTTTGAGCGCCTTGGGATCTGCGAGGCCAGCATGCAATACAGTAGTACCAGGAAGATGCAAGCTGCACCAAAACGAGGACATTGAAGCAATACTTGTGCCAATTGACCAGTTGTGGAGCTCTGGTGATGCTTCTGATTGGAAGTGATTACGCATAGCTAGCATGCTTGGAAGTATGGCTAAATCCGCGGCGCCAAAGTCGCAAAGATGCATCTGTCCACCAAATTTGGCCTTGAGTTCAAGTTTGGTGACGGTCCACACTCCACACAAAAGAGCGATCGGCATGCCCCCAAAAAGCCAAGATTCCAGTGTTCGTTCTTCTACACTGAGCATGTAGAGCAAAAAGCCCTGTAGTACCAAGTTGGTCAGCAAGAACATCATGCCTGCCACGCAGGAAAGAGGCCTGTGAGCTTTAAGCCCTCCTGCGCTAGGTCTTCACTTCCTATCTATAAGACTTGTCCGTGGATAAGCTGGCCAGGCAGCTATGACATGCGAGCGAGGTGTATTCCAGACTCCATCCAGCAGTTCGAGCAATCTGCGGCAATGCTAAAGCTGCGCCATACACTGAGTCACTCCTCGACTGTCATTTCTGGACTGCAGAAGAAAACGACATCTTGGAAAAAAGGAAGAACTGTCAAAGCCAAGTGACTGCACAGTAATGAGCAACCTCAGCACATTGACTCGGACACATTTTGAGGCTTCAACACCTGGAGAACTTGTCATCAAGCATCAAAATGACTCAAGACACTACCGGGAAGAGTCACAGCGAAGGTGCCAGCATCGTGTCTCTCTCTCTCTCTCTCTCTGTCTCTGGGCAGAGCTGACAGCTCGAGGTGCCAGCATTTTGTGTCACCGTGTCATTCTATTCTTGCGCTGTGAAGTGCCGAGATGACAAAACATAGTGAGGTTTACCAGAACCAAGAGATGCGACATGAGTTCGTTGCCATCATATCGTTTGTTGCCAGGCCCCTATCGCTCATCACAATGTTTTAACGCTCCACTTATCACTCTTCATGTGAGGCCGGAAGGGGAAAGGTCGAACAAAGTAAGACGTCGACACCCCAAATCCACCATTTTTTTCTGAGGTCTTTGAAGGCTGAGCAGCTTGGACAGCCTGGACATGCCAGTTTGGGGAGCCTACTGAGGTCTAACTTGGGAACATGACAAGGCTCCTAAGGCTCCTACAAATCAAACCATTCCGAGGGGTATTGATAGGGTATTGTCCGGCATCCTGAGGGTGATACACTTGAACAATTTTGAACATCTTCCATGGATTTCCATGGTAATTTGCGGGTTGTCATTCCAAAGTATGTTTTTTAATGGCAAGTGCTGTGCTTCACACACTGCAGGACTACACGTGCGTTTGGCTGCATGCCAAAATCCATGCCCCTTGTGCCCATGGTCCATGCTGCTGAATCACTTGATCAGGTCAAAGCTGTCAAACTATGCACAGCACGGCAGGGCTCCCTCTCCCTCTCTCTCTCTTTGATCTTTGTATTTGGCTCTATTTGTCCAACAAACACTGAAATCAAGGGATATCCCGTTACGTCGCTGGGTACAGTGGTGACAATACCTTATATCTTCTACGGCCTGCCCCACCCTGACCGCCACGGCCCAGTGACTTGGCACGGTCGTTCAGGGTCCGCATGGCTCTGCCAGCCAAGATCTGAACCTAGTAACAAAGGGCATCGCTACGAAAGGAGCAAGGACGCTACTAGTAGCTCGTGGCCTTACTACTAGTAACAAGAAGCTACTAGGAACAATGGGCATCGATACTAAAGATTACTAAAGTGTATCTTCGCTGTCTTGCAGAAGGAATGCAGGCGCCCAAGACATTTCTCATCAGGGGGTCCCCCAGAGATATTGAGAAATTGGAAGCAAGAGAGCTTGCGATAGTACCCAAAAGCTTTGGGAATACGGTAGTTATAATTGAATAGAAGGCTTGGAACTGCGAATCTGTTCTTGGAGCACGCAAATCAAAATCTCCAAGTCAGCTACGATCAAAACCAGAACCCTTACAAAACCCTGTCTTTCGCCCACTCAAGGAGTTTCCGATAGCGATTCACCACCCTACTTAGATGTTGTGTTTTCATGCCTCGTGGCAGTGCAGTTTCTTGAGGCAACATGAGGCAACATCCTGATTCCCCCTTGATAACAAAAACCAACTTGAACCCTTCTACTCACCATTCATGCTGCCGAAGGGACACTCAAACCGATGGCAAGTAATTACATGCCACACATCCAAACGAATTCTCACTCAAACCGTCGAACTGACATTTAAATCATGAACATGACTAAGCTAAATAAAGCAGACCGGCGTGCTGGACACCGATTGCCACGCTTGCTTCGTGGCGACGAGGCACGACCTGTTCTTCGGATGTCATTTCCTGCCATTCCTCGATTCTGGGCCAAACCAGCGCACTTCCAATGGTTTTTGGATGCCGGCCAGTTCCGCGTTTTCTTGTTCATTGCTCAAGAGTCGCCATCTGGGTGTCACAGGGGAAGAACACATTGACACCAATTTATGCCCCATATGGATCTGGGCATGGGATGAATGAATGAGAACAAATGGTCGGATGGTTGTGTCAAACTTTTTCAGTGAAGTCAAACCCGCTAAACCTTCTAAGTCAAAAGGTGACACAAAATGGTTTGATGGTTGGATGGTTGGGCCATGTGTCAAACCTTTTAAGTCAAATCGAGTCAATCCCATCCAACACATCACGCCGCTCATGGCCCAAGGCTCTGCCTTTAAGTCCTCCGAGACCGGGCCCAAATGAAACTCCGGCGTCGGGCGGAGCTCGGGGCCTCGGCACAAGGGCCAAAGGGCCGAACAAAGCACTGTTTTTTCAAATGTAATATATGGTTTCTAATAGCAAACATTGTTACTACTAGTAAGGCATTTGTTACTAGAAGCGATGCACTTGTTACTAGTAGCTTATTGAAGTGAACCGAGCTAATTGGCTTCAGCATCCAAGCGTCTGTCTTTTGAAATCTCCTGAGTGGTGCATGACAAGAACTTGGCAAAAGCGGTGGCGATGCTTATGCTGACAATGCTGCTGCAAGAAAATACAAATGGTCAACGGTTGACGCAAACCGGTACATCAAGAATGGTACAAGTCATCCAAAGCGCGGCATCTGTATCTCGATCAGGAACCAATTTGTAGCCGGACTGCCTTGCACCACTGGCGACTCCCATACATTGAACATCAGTACCGGCACACTGACTTGTTCAATCATTTTCGGGTAGGGGTTTTGCTTGCCGCCGAGCGGCTGTGGACCGTTCATCGCCAAGCAATGACTTGAATATGTGGTGGCAAGGCCATTGCGGTTGAAAGCTGCAAGTGCCAAGCGAAAACCAGGGTTGCAATCGCAAAGACTGACGCGGTCGGTATGTTCTCTCTCAGCCTAGACTTGAAGATGGTCCAAGAGAGAGGCTGTGGGAGTTTTGGGTTTGCCGAGAGGTAGACTTACAGTGACTCGTACAAACTTCGACTCTTCCTGCATGTCTTGTTTGTGCGAATTCATTAGAT